CCCTGAAGGAACATAGTAGAGAAGTCGAGGGAATGCAGCTCATAGTCACGCTGTGCCGCTATGTGTAGCAACGCCCGAAGAGTAGTCGTCTTTGGGGTCGGGGCGAAGGTCTGGTGGAATTCAACTCCGTTGTATTGATTGAAGCCTCTAGCTACGTAGCGCGCCTTGAATAATGGTGGCTCTCTAGAAGGGCACTTCACCTTGAAGAGCCACCGGCCATTGACTACGTTCACCCCAGGTGGGAGAACTGCGTCGACGTAGGTGCCGGTGGATCTTGAAGATGCCATCTGCGCGTCCATGACAGCTATCTACTGAGAGGCCCAGGGTCACGAGGTCGCATCAACGTAAGTGCGAGGGGTCGGGATGTCAAGGGCGTCGTAGTCACCCCCAAGAACTAGCAGCATTGAGCAGAGATGGGGATTGGCCTCGGACAGGAATGCTAGCTCGTACCGGTGGTCCTCTAGGATGTCACTGCCAAGGGCACGTGCACCCCTGACGGACGGAGGACGGGCAGGGTCAGAGACCTGAGCTGTGGCGTAGTCAAAGCGATGGGTGGAGGCAAAGTCAGTGACAACAGCGACAAGAGCGTCAAGATTGGAGACAGGAACGGACGGGTCGGTAACAAGAGAGGCGAGAACGCGGAGAATAAGGGGAGTAGCAGCATTGAGGAAGCCAGACAGAGGAGGCGGAGAGACAACAAGCGGCGACTGAGGAGGCGATGTTAGAAGAGGAGCACGAGACGCGTGAGAGCACAGCAACATAGGGTGAGAGTGCTGGACAGGAGAAACAGGACGAGCACGAGAGGCACAGTGAGACCATCAGCGGGAGGGGGGGGTCGGGTCAAGAGACAAGGGAGGAGACACAGGAGGAGAACGAGGGGGGAAATGAGTCAGGGACAAGTTCGGCGGATGAAACACAGGGCCGCAGACAGGAGGGGGAGGCAGCGGTAGGGGAGGGGCAGGCGAGCGACCGAGAGAGGGAAGAACCAGGAGGTGAAGGGCGGACACCGGCGGCGACTGCTGCTGCTGCTGCTCGCCGACACCAGAACCTCCAGCTGCACCACCGCTACCTCCGACATGCTCCACGACAGCATCCCTAGAACGAGAACCCTCTCCAGCACTAGTTCCACCCCGAGGACCATGAGGACAAGATACGATAGTACCCCCAGGACTAGCACCCTCCTCAACGCCTGCACCCCAAGAGCTCGCGGACCCCTGCGGCGGCTGCAGGTGCGGCTTTCGTGACTGCGGCTGCTGCTGCGGCTGCGACGTCGGCGACAGCGGCTGCTGCTGCGGCGGTGACATCGGCTGCTGCTGCGGCGGCGGAGGAGGAGATATCGGGGCGGAGAAAGGCGGCGAAACCAAAGCCGTAGGGCCCCCAAAGGCAGCCGATTCCTCTAATGGGACAACCGACGGGAGGGGAGTGATGTGAGACACACCACAGGGGGTAAGACAGAAAGGGAGAGGAGCAGGGGTTACCGGGGGAGTGGGGACCACATGTTAAGCTGGAGAGCAGCGGAGTGAACAACGAACGACCACAGAAAATGGGGCGCATGGGCATGGATCATGGAGGTACGAGCCACCTCCATGACCAAACCAATGCGTCGCTCAGCGACCCTATTCTACCGCGGGGAGTCCGGCAGGGTGTACGAGTGGGTGATGCCCTCCGCACGATAGAACTGGCCAAGCCGACCGGAGGTGAACTCGCCACAACAGTCGGAGCAAGGACGCAACACAGGGAGGCCACGGTGGACTCGTGCAGCTACGACCCACGGGATAAGAACGTCAGGCACGTTGGCCTTGTGTTCCAGGGGAAACACCATGGTGTAGCGCGTGTAGTCGTCAACAAGCACTAGAAAGTAGCGCTCTTGACGCGGCCAAGGGACGGGGGCTGGGCCCCAAACGTCCAGATGCAGGGTCTGGAGCGGCGCACTGGTAGGGGGAAGCGAGGAGGAGTGAGGAGCATGGCAGAGCCGACCCTCAAGGCAGGGTGTGCACGGCAGCGCAGGCAAGGGAGGGAGATCACGGAGCAACGCAGGGAGACCTAAGACAAAATCGTGCTAGGACATGTAACGTAGACGCGGGGGTGCAGGGTGACCTAGGGGGTGGTGCCACAGAAGCGACGGGTGAGTGAGCGACCGACATGAGGAAGCCCTAGCGATCTGGGTCGACGCAGGCACTTGGTGGGACGCCCTTATCGGGGGGGACGCGGTGTCAAGCTTAAACTGGCAAAGACACCGGTTCCTAGGGGAATGTGGTGAGAGGTGCACTAGAGGCGGCCTTGGTACAGACCGTGTACTGCTCGCGAGCGAGGAACGTAGTGGTGACGCCGAGTTCCCGAAGACAGCCAACGATAACTAGGTTCCTGGAGAACGAGGGGATGTGCAGGCTTGTAAGAGAGCTTAAAGGAACCGCCGGATAGGAACGGGTGGTGGAGCTATGGGAAACTATCAGACCTGAGGAGGGGTCAGCAAGCGCGACAGCGGCAGGGGCGGCAAGAGGCGTGAGCGCAGTGTGGTCACGGAAGAAGCAGGCAGACGCTCCAGAGTCTAGCGTGAGGGAGAGTGAAGCGGTAGCGTCAGTTGGCGAAGGGGCTAGCATGGAGCCTAGAGTAAACAAAGCAGAAAATCCTATGCCCGACGCATCAGGGGAGCCTAGACTACATACAGGAGGCACACCTACTCTAGGCAACACAGGGTAATAAGATCTGATCACACTAGAGTCATCAGCATATGTGGCATACAAAGCAGAGCAAAGCTGATCCATATCCATCTCAAAGACAAGCACACGTCGGCGTAGCAGACTGGGCCAGTCGGGGAGGTTCAGCGCAGGGCCGAAGCGGAGACGGAAGAGGTTGTCGAGGTGATGGAAGCAGCGGGCGGCGGTGTAACTGGGACGGCCGCACACACTGCTACGAAAGGGGCCAGTCTGGAGCTGGTAGTAGCAACCCACAGAGTCGAAGCTGCTACCCGACGCTAACCTGCGAGGGCCGCCACCGCGACCACCACCACCAAAGGCGCCGGGCCACCCTGGCGGGAGATGGCCCCACGACGGCTGGTGCTACTACGACTAGTGCTGCTCTGGGCGATCAGCCCCGGTCCCCTCGTCGGTACTACAGGCACTCGCACCACCACCACCACCACCACCACCACCCCCACAACCCCTCTCTCTGCCACGCCCCCCCTTGGGGTGGCGGCCCTTACCCTGACGTGGCTCCGCTGAGGCCGCCGCCGCTGCCGCGGCGGTCTCAGCAGCAGGGACTGTCTCAGCGACAGTGGCAGTAATTTCAGAGTAAATGCACTAGGAGGGAGCACAACCCTGGAAGATAGGGACCAACGCAGTACCGCTAGACTGAGCGATAGTGCGCTGGCAGGTCTCTGTCGCAGACAGGATGCTGACAAAGGCAGTAAGGGTGAGGTCACCTGGGTGCTGTCTGAGGAAATGGTCGCGAGCAGTGGCCAGGCTGTTGGGAAGGCGCGTGTCAATGAGGCAAAGCATAGCGCAAAGGAGAGGAGGGAATGCAGCGAGCTGGGCCTCAGTGCTAACAGCGCGGTAGCTAACTTCAAGGGCGCGGAGATGAGAGGCAAGATCAGTGACAATGGGGAAGGACGTAAGATCGGAGAATAGCGTGGGGAGGATCAGACAGCCGGCATAGGCGGAGGAGGGAGTGGAATAGCACGCAATGACCACATCTAAGTACTCCTTTGCATTCGCAACAGCCGTGAAGCGGGGGCGCTCAGACAGGGGGAAGGCGTGACTGATAGCAAGCTGCACTACTTCGTCGCGCGACTCCCAGACAGCGCGCGCAAGTTCACCAGCGGCAAAGGCCTCACGCTCAGCAGTGGTGGGGGCGTCAATGAGGGCAGTAGGCGCGTCGGGGCAGGGGAGCTTACTGTCGACATGGACGGCCAGAGATTAGCTGTCCTGGTTTTGACCCGTCAGCTGACGGCGAAGGTCGACGAGCCACGCCTCAAAGTCGATCGCTCGATCCTCGGCATCCAGGCGGAGCACATTGTTTGCCATCACCACAGCCGCAGCGGCTGACGGCGACACGGTGCCCTAGCGGCACTGCGGTACAGCAACACGGCGACACGGCGGCACTGCGGCACGGCGACACGGCGGCACGGCGGTTGGACACGATGGCACGGCGGGACCGGGGCCGGCGCGAACTAGGGCTGGCGAGCAAGGGGCCGGCAAGCTAAGGGGCTGGCGAGTGAGGGGCCAACAAGCGAGGGGCCGGCGAGCTAGGGGTCGGCAAACTAGGGGCCGACGAGCTAGGGGCCGGCGAGCACGAGGCCAGCGAGCTAGAGGCCGGCTAGCGAGGGGTCGGCGAGCTAGGGGCCGGCGAGTGCGGGGTTGGCGAGCGCGGGGCTGGCGAGCGCAGGGCCGACGAGCGTGGGGCCGGCGAGCTAGGGGCCAGTGAGCGCAGGGCCAGCGAGCGCGAGGCCGGCAAGCTAGGGGCCGGCGAGCTCGGGGACGGGGAGCGCAGGGCTCGCGAGCGCGGGGTCGACGAGTGCAGGGCCGGCGAGGTAGGGGCCGGTGAGAGCGGGGCCAGCGAGCGTGGGGTCAGCAGCCGCGGGGCCGGCAAGCTAGGGGCCGGCGAGCTCGGGGTCGGCGAGTGCGGGGCTGGCGAGCTCGGGGTCGACAAGCGCGGGACCGGCAAGCTAGGGGCCTGCGAGCGCGGGGCCTGCGAGCGCGGGGCGAGCGAGCGCGGGACGGGCGAGCTAAGGGCCAGCGAGCGCGGGGCTAGCGGGCGAGGGGCTGACGAGCGCGGGGCCAGCGAGCTACCGCAGCTAGGGCGGCTAGTGGCGGCTAGGGCAGGCTAGGGCGAGCTAGAGTGGGCTAGGGCAAGCTAGAGCGGCTAAGGCGGGCTAGGTCGGCTAGGGCTGAAGTTGGTGGGCGGACCTAACCTAGGCAATACCATCTCAGAGTAACAGAATGAATGGAATAGTGGGTACAGGGTAGTTTGTGCTAGGTGTTGTACTCTCTATGAGCATGCACCTAGCTAGTTATAAACATATGCAAATATATGTTGACACAAAATGCATCCAGCCTGTCAGGAGACCATATTTGGGAGCCGCCATTTGAATTTCGTGACAAAGCTGCGCAGCAACCCAGTGACAGCAGTGTACGCCTTACTAACTAAAACCTGGGACAAGGAAATACCGTTTTCTCACGCTACTTCTCATTCTTTACATTTGTGCACGGTGGCAGCAGTTGTGCGAGGTTTTTCCGCATCAGACCGCACAATAGGGGCAGCAGTTGAATTCCCACTGCCACCACTGGCAGCAGCACCAGCAACAATACCAGGAGCAGCAGCAGAAGCAGTCGCAGAAGCAGAAGCAGAAGCAGAAGCAGAAACAGTAGCAGCAGAAGCAGAAGCAGAAACAGCAGCAGGAGCAGCCACAGTGACCAAGGTTGCAGCGCTACCAGCAGGAGGAGGAGCAGCATTTGAGGCTGCTGCAGCAGCAGGGGCAGGAGCAGCAGTCGAAACAGCTATGGTAGCAGGCACAGCAGCAGATGCAAACGCAGTGACAGGAGCAGCAGGAGGAGCGGCAGCAGTAGGAGCAGCAGGAGTAGCAGGAGCAGCAGCAGTAGCAGGAGCAGCAGCAAGAGGAGCAGCAGCAGTAGCAGGAGCAGCAGCAGTAGCAGGAGCAGCAGCAGTAGGAGGAGCGGCAGCAGGAGCAGTTACAGCAGCAGAAGCAGCCAACGTGACTGAGGTTGCTGCACTACCAGCAGCAGGAGCAACATTTGCGGCTGCAGCAACAGCAGGGGCAGGCGCAGGGGCAGGGGCAGCACTGGAAGCAGCTGTGGTGGCAGATGCAGCAGCAGATGCAGCAGCAGGAGCAAGAGTAGCGGCAGGAGCAGCAACACGAGCAGCGGGGGTAACCTGTGAAGGAGCTAAGTTCATGGTTGGTGGAACAACCCCCAATGCCTGCTGCTATGCCTGCTGCTGTGCCTGCTGCTGTGCCTGCTGCGGCTGCTGCTGTGGCTGCTGCTTCAGCTGCTGCTGCGGCTGTTGTGGCTTCTCGATTTGACCCTAAGCTGTTGCATCTCTCTCACTTGTTGCGCTGCGAACTGCTGGGCCTCCTGCAAGCGCTGCTCTAGATGCGCACGCTGCCACTGCTGCTGATGCTGCAGTGGCTGCAGCTGGTACTGCAGATAAGCTATGTGGTTGAGCTGCTGCAGGTGCATCTTCTCTAGCTGCTGCAGAAGGGACGCTCTGTAACCAGACGCACCTTGCTGCTGCTGCTGCTGCTGCTGCTGCTGCTGATGCTGCTGCTGCTGCTGCTGATGCTGGTGCTGCTGCTGCTGTTGTTGTTGCTGTGGTTGCCGCTGCTGCTGTTGTTGCTGTGATTGCCGCAGGTGCTGCTGCATAAAATTTTGACCCAAATTGGCGGTACCAGCAGCATTGAGGACTGCAGCATTAAAGCCTGGGGCACTGAAGCGTGTAACAGTCTGAGCCCCGGCAGTAGAGGCAGTACTGACGCCCGCAAAGAGAGGCAAGCCCACTCCAGATGCAGCCTTCGAGGCGGCCTGCGCCATCTGAGCAAACGCCTGGCCCGGGTTGCTGCCAAGTGCAGAAGAAACCGCCACTGCTGCCCTGTTCAATGCAGAGAATCGCAAACCTGCTCCCTCCTCCTCCTCCTCCTCCTCCTCCTCTTCCTCACTAGAACCATCTTTATCAGTGTTGTCACTGGAGTAGGTGGTGATTCGAGCTTGGCTACTTTCCCTCCCCTCCTTCCGCCCTTCCTTCCTCTCTTGCTTCGTATCTCCTTTCCCACGCCCTCTTCTTCTCTCCTCTCTCCCTCGCTTCTTTCCTCCCCTCCTCCCTCCGTCTCGATCCCTCGTCCCCCCTTTGCTCTCTCCCCTAGTCCTCACCTCTACCACATCATCATCTGATCCCCCTTTACTCTCACTCTCACTCTCACTCTCATGCTCACTCTCATTCTCACTCCCTCCCTCCTCTTTCTCACATCCCGAAAGCTGAATAACTTCTGCCGGCCGAGTTCTGCTGCCCACCGCCCCCCCACTCCTCCCTCCCTCACCTGTCTCTCTGACTCTCTCTCCCTCCTGTTCTCCAATTTCCCCTCCCCTCCCAGCGACCAGCACATTCCACGTGCTCTCAAAAGACGCACCTCGTCTACCAAACAACTTCTCCGCCCTCTCACCCCGTCTCCTCTCCGCTCGCCTCAGAGCCCGCTCCTCCGCCGTTCTTCTCCTCCTCTCTCTAGCGCTCTCCCCTCTCCGTCCCTTTTGCTCTAGCGCCCTCCTCTCCATCCTCCCCTCTCTTTCACTAACCGCCCGCCCACCTCCACCTCCCATACCTCCTCCTCCTGCCCCTCCCGCCAATCCCGCCACTCTTGCCACTCCCACCCCTCCTGCCCCTCCTGCCGCTCCTGCTCCTCCTAGTAAGCATCCAACTCCCCCGGCAGCACCTCCCAATGCGGATCCCGCCCCCCCCCCAGCTGCAGCCAAGAGTGCAAGGAGTGGAAGCAGTTGGTTACCCAATGCTTGGGCTTGGGCTTGGGCCTGAGCTTGGGCTTGGGCTTGGGCCTGAGCTTGGGCTTGGGCTTGGGCTTGAACAGAATTCACACCTGGTAGTAACCCAAGGAGGCCTGCATTACCAAACCAAGCACCAGCACCAGAAGCAACACCACCGCCACCACTACCACCCCCTCCTCCTGCTGCCTGTGCGGCCAAGAGTGCCAGGAGTTGCAGCAATGGGTTGCCTGGTGCTTGGGCTTGCTGTGGATTCGCACCTGCCAGTAAACCCAGCAAACCGGCATTACCAAAACCAGCACCAGCACCAGCACCAGCACCAGCACCAGCACCAGCACCAGTACAAGCACCAGCACCAGCACCAGCACCAGCACCACCAACCCCAAGTGCTGAAAGCAGAGCAGCAGTCGCAGCAATCCCTCCTGCCGCACGGGCAATATCAGCAGGAGTACCAGCAACATGCAAAGCAGCAGCAGGTGCAGCACCAGCAATCGAAGCGGCAGGCTGCGTCTGACCAGCAACGCCATACACTCGAGGGAGGGGTTGCGGTCCTCGGCCGGAGTGTTGCAGGGACAAGCCCACCTGTGGGCGGGGCAGAATCAGCCGCTGGGAGCTCAGACCAGGGGATCCATTGCCTGCTGCGCCTGCTGCTGCTGCAGCTGCCTGGCTTCTTGTGACGCGGCGACCAGCAAGAGGAGAGGCCAATGTAGTTGCAGGAGGGGGGGCAAGCGGCGAAGGGGAGTCGAGGTACGCAGCACGGGGGCCGGTGAGACCTCCCGCCCACATCTCACAGCCGCTGCCCAGTGGTCTGTGCTGGGGCGCAGATGTGCTTGCAGGAGTGCCTTGAGGGGGGTCGAGGTGCGCGAATCGGGTACCGGTGAGCCTGCCTGTCCAGGAACCACCACCACCCAACGCTCCTGAGTGGCGTGTAGATGAATCCGGAGGAGGCGTTCTTTGAGGGGAGTCACAGTGCGGGGAGAAGAGGTCAGGGGAGCCGGAGTCAGGGAAGCCGAAGGGAGCAGGATAATCAGCAGCATGGTCCCCGTCCCAAAAACTTCCCGACAGCCCCTTTTGCCTCGGAGCCCTGGCACGAGCAGGGGCACGAACAGCAGCAGCAGCAAGAGCAGCAGCACGATTCGCACGATCAGCAGCAGCAGCAGCAGCCCTACCATTGTGTTGGGGATACTTGGTCAGCCAGTCCGCCCCGAGAAGGCTCCGCATGAGGCTAGAGACGTCGGGATCGTCCGCCCACTTCTCCAATGCATACAGGTCCGATTCTCCCTCTTTAACCGAATTCCACTCTTTCCCTGGATCGCCGGAGGCCTGGGTGACTCCTGGTGGTTTAGCAGTGGTGATTCCTGCTGCAGTAGTCTTCCCTCGTTTTCCTCCTCTTTCCTGCTCCGATTCCTGCCGTCTCCGCCCTCTCTTCCTGCCCACTCCTCCTCCTCCTCCTCCCCCAACCTCCACCACATCATCATCATCACCCTCATCCTCGTTATTTTCATCATCACTCTCATCCTCAATATTATCATCAGCGCTATTGTCCCCATCCTCACTCTCTTCCTCCTCCTCCTCATCACGATACTCCCCATCCGACCATTCCTCCTCCTCCTCCTCCCCCTCCTCCCCCTCGTCCCACTCCTCCTGCCCCTCCCCCTCTCCCTTGCCTTTCCCCCACCTCCCTCCTTCCCCTGCTCCTTTCCCCCCCCGCTCCTCCTCCTTTCTCTTCCTCGCCTTATACCGCTCAATAAATTTCCGTACCCAGTTGTTTCCCTTCTTTTTCTTCTTCTTTCTTTCTCCATACTTAAAGCTAGGAGGCGCACCTAGGGACGGTCCTAACTGCTTAGCCATGTCAACAATCATCTCTAGCGTCAGAAACACAGACGAAGAGCCACCTCTCCCCTGCCCATTTGTGAGAGATTTCTGAGAATTCTCAGAGTGCCCCCTCTCCTTCCCTTTCAGCACCAGAATCCCCTTCTCAATCCTCCCCCTCCTCACCAGCTCTTCCGCCCCTATCTCCTCAATCCACCACCCCAGGGCCTCCTCCAGCAGTGCACACATCCCCACCCCCTTCACCCTGCTAGTCCTCCTCTTCCTATACCTCATCTCCTCCTCTTTCCCCCTCGGAATTCGGATCCACCAATCACGTTGCTTCGCAAGCTTACGCACCGTATCCCTGGACACGCTCACCCCCCAAGCCTGCAGAACAGCTTTGGCGAGGGAGGTTTGGCGCAGGCTCGGCACGGCCCGGAAGACGAGGCAGAAGGCCCGCTTCTGGCCTCCTGTTAGCTGCCACCCAATGGGGCGTCTTGTTTTCCGGACGGGAGCTCCTGGAAGGTCTGGGGTGTTTGCGGCCTGGTGGGGAGTTTCAGAACGGTTTGGGGCGGTTGTGGGTGGATTGTGATTGGTGTGTGAAGGTTGTGGGGCGGTTGTGGGTTGAGGGGTGAGTGCAGGTGGGGGTGCGTTTGTGGGCTGCGGGGCTTGGGAACAGAGTGGGGCCTTTGTGGTGTGGGGCGTGGCGCAACTACCTGAGCCGGGGGCGTATGGAGCAGCAAGGGCGAGGATGATAGGGAAGGGAGACGAAATGCAGGTGGTTGCGGTGAGGAGGACTGCACCAGTGGCTGGGGCAGTGGCGGACGCACCCTTGTTGCGTGCATCGTCATCAGGGCGACCTACTCCCTCTACTCCCCTACTCCCCCTACTCCCTCTACTCCCCCTACTCCCTCTACTCCCCCTACTCCCCCTACTCCCTCTACTCCCCCTACTCCCCCTACTCCCTCTACTCCCCCTACTCCCTCTACTCCCCCTACTCCCCCTACTCCCTCTACTCCCCCTACTCCCCCTACTCCCTCTACTCCCCCTACTCCCTCTACTCCCCCTACTTCCTCTACTTCCTCTACTTCCTCTACTTCCTCTACTTCCTCCACCTCGTCCAGTACAGTCGGCTCCACCTCGCCTCCCTCTGTTTCCTCCCGCTCATCCAGTATAGTCGTGTCGAATGCCTCTCTCATCACCTCCTCATCTCTTCTCATTTCCTCATCTCTCTTCCCTCCCTCTTTATCTTCTTCCCTTCTCTCTCCGCCCTCTCCACTCCTCTCTCCTTCGCCTGTTCCTACAGTTCCCCCTTCTACGCCCCTCTCCCCACTCTCTTTCCCTCCCCCTGCCCCCAAAATCCCCACTCCTTTCCCTCTCCCCCCACTCCTTTCCCCTTCCCCTGCATCCCTGTAATCAGGCTCAGGGCTACTCATACCACCTCCAGCTTCCCCTTCCCCTCCACCCTCACCTCCGCCGCCTTTCCCTCCTTCCCCTCCCACTCCTTCTGTGTCCGTTTGTGCACCCGCTACTGCTGCACCTAAGCCTCCTGCCCCTGCTGTCTCGTGCAGCACCTGCCTGGCAGCGCGGTCAGCCGCTCGCATCTGCAGATTCACAAAGCTGACCAACCCACCATCATCCCCACCTGCCTCACCATCACCATCCCCGCCGTCCTCCTCCTCCTCCTCCTCCTCCTCCCAATACTCTCCTCCCCCATCCTCGGTATTATCATCCTTGGTACTAGTCTCCGACAGCAGCAGCAGCCCAAACCTCTTCATGAACCCGGTCGCCCACGTCTTCCCGTACCTAAACTCCCTCCTCAGTTTAAACCCCGGCCCGATCTCCTTCGCCTGCGCTATAATCTCCTCCCGAGTAACCTCCCTCTTTTCAGTCTCCTCCTCTATAATCACCCACTCTGCTAAAGCCTCCTCCATACGAGATTGCTCCGGATCATCCACGGCCCCAGCAGCCAGCCTGAACCACTTATCACTCTCCTCCCCTATCTTCCTAATCGCCCTCGGGGTCATTTCCACTCCGTACTTAGCCCTAATAGCAGCGGCAATCACCTTATTCTCTAAGTGCGGCCGTGCGCGCTTAACCACAGCAATCTCGTACCGAAGCCGGATCTCAAAGGGAATCTCGCTCCGAGCGTACGCCCGTTTCAGCTTGGGATTTTCCGAGCCTGGGCTCCCGCCTTGGTCGAACCCTTCATCATTCCCCGAGCCTTCACCTCCTTCCCTGCTTATCTCCTCTCCTTTCCTACTCAAGCCATTCTCTTGTAAAACCTTCTTAAGCCAATCCCCACTGAACCTAAAGGAGGCCGGTATGCCATAGGACGGTCCTAACTTCATCGCATACTCCTGGATCTCCCTAAACTTGAAACGCCTTTTAACCCCTTTGATTATATTCGCCGGGTCGGAGTCCGCCCTCTCCCTCGTCTCCCGCACCCACCGCACCAGCGCCTCCTCCAGCGGCGCGTTCTTATAACGAGTACGCTTCCCCTTGGTCCAGTTTTTCTTAACGAACTGGTGGTCTACAGTGGATCTGAGGATAATCATCTCCACCTGCGACTCTTTAATCGGCACGCCGTATAGTTTAGAGACTGCACGTGCGATATGCGCGCTGGTGAGGACGGGGTGCGCCTGCTTCAAAGCGGCGATCTCCTGCTGAAGCTTCGGCTCTATCACCTGCCGCTTCGACGGCCGCTTCGACTGCTTTTGAGTCGACTCAAAAGCGCGCGCGATATGCACGCTGGTGAGGATGGGGTGCGCCTGCTTCAGCGCCACCATCTCCTGCTGAAGCTTCGGATCCACCACCTGCCGTTTGGACGGCCTCTCCGACGGCCTAGGCTCGGATGCCGAGCCAACCGCAGGTTCGGACGCCAGGCCTGTTGCTGCTGCTGGGATATCTGGTCGCTGCTGCTGTTGTTGCTGAGCAGACGCAGGACGGGAAGGAAGTGAGAAATCGGACACCTGATCAGTTGCATGCGTTCCCTCTCCGCCTGCCCCTTCACTGCGACCACAATCGGACATCCTCGGCTCTGCTCGATAGTCTCAACACCAAGATTGCGATTTTATTTCCTCAGGAGGAATCCGGTATCGTTCTTCGGAAACGAGGAGGCTTCTGAGTCGTCTCAAGCCTCGACGCTCAGCTACGATATCCTGGATGTAACTGTCCAGCGCTGCTAATCGGGCACTCAGCGCTGCTGGCTCGCGCTGCTAGCTCCATCGTAACCTAACGCCGGACAACAAAAAAAAACACAGGAAAAATCGTCCTACACGCCCGATTGCGGCGGCGACACCATGCTTCAGCCCTGAAAAGTTAGAGAAATAAAACAAAGATGCCCCTATTTCAGGAGGCGACTCGACTCGACACGACCACTCGAGTCAACTGGTGGTGTGCGGCTGGAGGATCATTCGAAACGTCTGAAGTGATGATTGGCGGGAAGTGACAGGGACGAAAAGTAAGAGTACAGTGACACCAAGCAGTGGAGGCGCAAACGAAGAGTAACACAGAGCTTCGCCCTGAGTGTTGGTCTAAATCGCTGCTCCTATTTCTGGTGTCCCTCTTAGAAGAAAAGCTGGCACTAGTTCCTTCCCTGCCTGACAGGACAGAGTGGGTAGGGCAGGCCTCCTGGGTACCCGTATGGTAAATTGGAACTGTAATTCCTTCGCCGTGCGGGAAGTCCGAGGTGAGGGGACAAGAAAGAAACCCCTCATCCGAAATGACTGCTGGAAGAATCGAACGGCAAGGAGAGCCTGACTTTGGTTACAGGGCCTCATCGACGGCTAAAACATTGGCCAATATCCTCGAGAGATCCCACAAAACGACGAGACTGTGCAGATGGATGCAATCATCTAGAGATTTTGATAGCAGGTTATCAAGCAAATCCCAACGCCCCTCTAATGTATTCAAGTGAAGAATTTGTGTATATTCAAATCACAATATTCATCCCTGGCTAAAAAAAGTCCATACAACTTAAAACCCGACCGGCAGGTCGCATATTGGCACTGCTGAGGTGGGTGGCGCCTGACCCAAGAAGGATAAAAAATTATTTGAATCTTGGTCACAGAGGCGAAATTTGCAGGGGGGGTTGCGAAGCGAGAAAAAAATAAAAATAAAAATTGGGGAAGCGCGGAAGTCACACACCTTGCCTGCGGGAGATGGGCGACATTTTGGCGACGAGGGGAAACAAGGAGGGTAGGAACCAGAGTATGGGTGGGTACAATATCGATTAAAAACCGACTCCAATGCGTAACTAGGATTGTCAGGCCAAAGACGATCAGACAAAAGCACATGCGAGTCACACGAAACACGAAACAAAACATTGCGGAAACACGCCCGGCCTACCCCAACCTGTTCTGAATGAACAAGCAGAGTAGCGCGGAAATGAATAACGAAGTATTCAATCACTGAATGACGATACAAGGAATGGCCAGCCAAGATATAGGAACACCAGAGCTAGTCTAACCATGCGATGGTAAGGTTCGGGAAAGAGATCGAAGGGTCTCAAAGTGACGAAGCGAGGCCTGGAGAACTCCCGAAGGTCCAACTAGAAGGTTTGGAGAGGCCGAGGCGGTTCTGTCAGATAGGTCCGGAACAGTCCCGAGGCTTCGGGTGTATTCGAGCGTACGCGGTAGCAGTAGCACTCGGTAAGGAATGAAAAATTCCTTACACCACCCCCCCCCTTAGCAAAGGTGATCTATATGAGCCACGTGCTTGCGGGCCAAATAATTCGCAAGTATCGAAGGTGACTGTATCTGGTCCGAGGGCACCCACGTGTCGTCCTCACTGGTACGATTGGTCCATCGTATCAGAAAGTCAACGTGTCTTCCTTGGCCGTCGATACGAATCCGATGGCTCAAAATCTTCGAAGGCTCGATGGCCGTCTCGGCCGGTAGCCGTACATCTGGAACCAATCGCTGTCGGGCGATGTCCGACGTGTCCGGAACAAAGGGTCGCAATAGCCTCACGTTGAACTTGTTGTGAATACGCCAGTCATCAGGTAGGCGCAACTAGGCGGTCACCGGCGTCACCATCTTCATGATCTTGAATGGGCCACAGAAACGTGATCGTTATTTCGTCGGTAGTGGCAATCGTAAATTCTTGGTGTCCAACAGGACTAGTTGCACTGCTGCCATTGTACTATCCCGTCGATGTAAATCCGCATACCGTCGGGCTGTAGCGTTCGCCTTGCGAGTAAATTCGACAGCTTTGTCTCGAGCAGTCTGTAATTCTTCGACGAACTGCTGCGATCGTGGTACTTGGCTTTCAGCGTTGGTGGAGACTGGTACTGTAGGGTCCATCCCGTGATTGAGGTAGAACGGGGAGTGATTACTCGTAGCCGAATGCGCGTTGTTGTAGGAAAATTCCAACATCGCAAGCACGTCCTCCCATTTTTTTTTCGGTCGGGGCAGTTTGTCCGAATCAGCTGCTCCATCGTTTGGTTTGTCCTTTCAGTCTGGCCGTCTGTTTGGGGGTGAAAAGCGGATGAGAACTGCAGACGCATGCCGTACCGAGCCCACGGGTCTTGCCAGAATTTCGACGTCAACTTCTGGTCTCGATCACAAATGATTGCTGCTGGTATCCCGTATAGGCGAACAACGGTCGAGATGAACAGGCGCGCAGTTTCTTCGACTGTGATGGTTGTACGACACGATGCGAAATGCGCCATTTTCGTCAAACAGTCGACGACAACCAGAACTGCGTCGATTCCGCTGGGTCCGGCCGGTAGTGTCAACTTATACATATTATCTATGTAGAAGTTATAGGCTAGACTGAGGTATGCTTCTAGTGAGTACAACCAACTAGTATTTGTTCTAGGTTTCCACCTCTAGTAAATCATTCGTTTCTACGTTAACATGGTATCACGCTTAGGTTAGGATCCCCCCGCCTACCGCTTCCGCCCGTCGCGCCTCCTAGGCCCCGTTGCGCCCCCTAGGCCCCGTCGCGCCCCCCCTGGGCCCCGTCGCGCTCGTTAGGCCCCGTCGCGCCCCCCCTGGGCCCCGTCGTGCCCGCTGGGCCCCGTCGCGCCTCCTAGGCCCCGTCGCGCTCCCCCTGGGCCCCGTCGCGCCCACTGGGTCCCGTCGCGACCCCTAGGCCCTAACTCGCCCCCGCTGGGCCCCGTTGCGCCTCCTAGGCCCCGTCGCGCCCCCCATGGGCCCCGTCGAGCCCGCTGAGCCCCGTCGTGCCTCCTAGGCATCGTCGCGCCTCCTAAGCCCCGTCGCGTCCCCCCCCTCTGGGCCCCGTCGCGCCCGTTCGGCCCCGTCGCGCCCCTCCTAGGCCCCGTCGCGCCCGCTGGGCCCCTTCGCGCTTCCTAGGCCCCGTCGCGCCTGCTAGGCCCCGTCGCGCCCCCCCTGGGCCCCGTCGCGCCCGTTAGGCCCTGTCGCGGCCCCCCTGGGCCCCGTCGTGCCCGCTGGTCCCCGTCGCGCCTCCTCGGCCCCGTCGCGCCCCCCCTGGGCCCCGTCGTGCCCGCTGGGCCCCGTCGCGCCCCTTAGGCCCCGTCGCGCCCGCTGGCCCCTGTCGCGCCTGCTGTTAGCGCTCGCCCGCCTGGCCTCCTCCTAGTGCCGCTCGGCCTCCTCCTAGTGCCGCCCGGCCTCCTCCTAGTGCCGCCCGGCCTCCTCCTAGTGCCGCCCGGCCCCTTCCTAGCGCCGCCCGGCCTCTCCTCAGCGCTGCCCGGCCCCTCCTCGTGCCCGACCGGCCCCAGCAGCACCAGCCTGGCCCCTCCCAGCACCAGCCCGGCCCTAGAGCACCTGCCCGCCTCCCCTGCTCGGCCTGCCGTGTCCTCTCGGGCCCTGTGTCTTCTGCTTGCCTGCGCTGGGACGCCTAGCTGCTGCCCTACTGGAGAGTGCTGCCGCCGTGTCCCCGCGCCGCTGTGCTCCTGTGCCGCTGAGGAGCTGTGCTGCTGTGCCGCTGTGTCGCTGAGGAGCTGTGCCGCTGACCCTGCACGATGGCTGACTTTGTGCTCCGCCTGGACGCTGAGGGCCACGCGGTTGACTTCGCCGCCTGGCTCTCCGATCTTCGCCGCCAGCTTACAGGTCAGCGCCAGGATGGCCACTCTCTGGTTGTCCATGCTGATGGCTTGCTCCCCCGTCCCCCTGCACCTACTCCCCTCCCTGCTGACCCCTCCTCTGATGACCGTGAGGCTTTCTCTACTGCTGCGCTAGCCTGTGCGGTCTGGGACTCACGCGATGCAGTAGCTCAGGTTGCTATTAGTCACGCCCTCCCTGTGTCTGAGCGCTCGCGTTTTGCTACTGTTGAAACGGCCAAAGCTTATTTAGACGCCGTTATTGCTCGCTATTCCACCCCTGCCTCCGCTTCTGCTGGCCGCTTGCTCTTTCCGATGCTGTTCCCAGACCTGGCTGCCTTCCCTACTGTCGCAGATTTTGCCACTCATTTGCGTGCCCTAGAGACTCGCTATCGCACTGCCAGCACTGCTGCCCAGCTCACTGCGCTCCCCCCTCCTTTCTGCATGACGCTCTATTTTATCGCTATGCGCCTGCCAGACCGCCTCGCTAGTGCTCGCGACCACTTTCTTAGCCAGCACCCGGGTGACCTCACCCTGACCGCCTTTGTCGACACCCTCACTGAGATCGAGACTCGCCAGCGCACTATCGCTCAGTCGAGCGGTGCGCCGGCAGTCTCTATCTTTCACGGTTGTGCCCCATCCCCGTGCACGTTCACTGACGTTTCGGCTGCGGTCGCCACGGCGACCCCTCTTACCGAGACGGCTGCTGCTGTCCACCCGCAGCAGCGCTCGCGTCGCGGTGGCCGTGGCCGCCAGGGAGGTAGGGGTGGTGACGCAGGTGGTAGTGGTCGTGGTGGTGGTGACGGTAGTCCGCCTGAGGGGACTACCACCGGTGGGCAGGAGCAGCAGTCCCAGCAGCAGCAGGACCAGCCCCAGCCGCAGCCGCCGTCCCAGCAGCACCCGCCGCAGCCGTGGGCTCGTCTCCCGCCTGGTTGGCCCGGCACCTCCGGAGGCGGTGGCCGTGGTGGCGGCCCGCGCAGCTTGGCGTCTACCAGCGGCTCCAGTGCTGTGACCTGCCAGTACCAGCTTCAGACCGGGCCTCTCCGCGGCACTCTGTGCCGCCGCCCGCACCCGACCGCCCACTGTTTCCGCCGCCTCGACGATCTTTTTCGTCGTCGCTTTGGCCCGGCCCCGGACCTCCCTGACTGGCACAGCCTGCTCCGCCAGGGCGTGCCGATCTTTGAGTTAGACATGGATCAGATAGGTGCTGCTTTGCATGCTTTGTATGCTGACGCTTCTAGTGTTGATGGATCTTACTACCATGTGTACTCTAGTTTAGGTGTTTCACCCTTGTGTAGCTTAGCTTCCCCTGCTGCGACAGGCGTAGGACTGCCTAGGTTGCCTAGTCTAGTCGCTGCACCGGCTCCGTCCGCGGCCTCCGCCACTGCGTCGCTGTCCTTCACTCTTGACTCTGGTGCTTCTGCCTGCTTCTTCCGCGACCGTTCCACGCTCACGCCGCTTGCTGCACCTGCTGTTGTCTCTCTCGCTGACCCCTCTGCGGGTCCGGTCGTCGCGCGCAGTTCTACGTCCCTTCCCTGTCCGGCAGTTCCCTCGGGCTCCCTTACTGGCCTCCACGTTCCCTCGTTCTCCAGGAACCTGGTTGGTGTCGGCTGTCTCCAGGACCTCGGCGTCACCACCACGTTCCCCGGGCACGAGCGGTTCGCTGTCTGTTCTGAGGCTGTCTCCGGTTCCCCCCTTGCGACGTTCCCCCGGGACCCGGTGTCCGGTCTGTTTACCCTACACACCGCTTCCCCCCCGGTTGGTGCGTCCTCCCAGGTCGCTGCAGCTTGCTCGTGTCGGTCCCTCACTCACCCCTCCCTTCTCTGGCACCACCGCTTAGGTCACCCTGCTCTCCCGCGTCTGCGTCACATGTCCCAGCACGGTCTTGTCTTAGGTCTCCCCGCGTCGCTCCCTGCCCTTCCTCCCTCGACTGCGCCACCGTGCACGCCTTGCGTCGAGGGTCGGCTCCGCCGTGCTCCTCACTCCTCCTCGCTGCGTCCTGCTACTGCCCCCCTTCAGACCCTGCACTTGGACGTTTGGGGCCCTGCCCCCGTCCCCGGACCGCGCGGTGAGCGCTACTTCCTTGTGCTCGTTGACGACTACACGCGCTACACCACGGTGTTTCCCCTGGAGCGGAAGGCCGACGTGCCCGACGTTCTTCTCCCGTGGGTTGTAGCTGCGCGTCTCCACCGCGGTCTCCCCGTGTTGTGTCTCCACTCCGACCGTGGCGGCGAGTTCGCCTCTGGTCGGCTTGGACAGTTCTGTCGTGCGGAGGGCATCACCCAGTCGTACACGTTGCCGGACTCGCCACAGCAGAATGGGGTTGCTGAGCGCCGCATCGGCTTGGTCATGGAGGTCGCCCGTACCTCCATGATCCATGCCGATGCCCCCCATTTTCTGTGGCCGTTCGCTGTTCGCTACGCGGCTCACCAGCTTAACCTGTGGCCACGCTCCCAGCGGCCGCAGGTTTCGCCGACCCTCCTTTGGACCGGGTCCCCCGGTGACGCGTCTGCGTTCCACGTCTGGGGCTGCCTTGCTCACGTTCGTGCCTCTGGCACGGACAAGCTCACTGCCCGCACTGTCCCCTGTGTCTTCCTCGGTTTCCCCCTGGACTCGTCTGACTGGCTTTTCTACCACCCGCCGTCTCACCGCTTCCTCCACTCTCGTGACGTCACCTTTGACGAGTCCGTCTCCTTCTACCGCCGCTTCCCTCACCGAGGTCTCCCAGTTGCCCCCCCCCTTTTCCTTGCTCCCTCTCCCCCGGTAGCCCCTGCCCCTCTCCCGCCTCGTCCTGCCCCGTCTGGTGTCTCCCACGTCACTCCCCTCCCGTCGGTTGTCCCCGTTGAGGAGTCTGCTGACTCTGGTGGTACCCCCGGTCCGTCCTTGCCGCGTCCCCCTTCCCCAGTGCCTCCGCCCCCACTGTCGCAGTCGCCGACCCCGCTGCCGCCGCCGTCGCCGTCGCCGCCGCAGCCGTCGCCGCTGTCGCCGCCACTGCCGCCGCTGCTCTCGGCCCCTGGGGGTGCTGGTGTGGAGGAGGGTGTTCGTCCTGCGGCTTCTGGGGGTGCCGCTGGTGTTGGAGGGGGTTCTCGCTCTTGGGGTGTTGGTTCTGGGGGTGCTGCTGTTGAGTGTTCTGCCGACGGTCGTTCTGCCTCTGCTGGTCCGAGAGTTCCGGCCCAGCCGTCGTCGCCGCCACAGCAGCCGTCGCCGCCGGTTTCCGCTCTCCGCCTGCTCGGCCTTCCCTCCCCGGACCGCGCGCCGGTGTCTCCCCCACCGCCTCCTGACCTCCCTGTCTACGGTCCTGTGTTCCCGCCGCCAGACTCGTCTCCGGCCCGTCTTCCTCCTCGTTCCCCTCCTGTGTCTCCTCCGCTGTCCCCTGACCCTACCCCTCCGTCTCACGTTTGGGCTCGCCGTCCCTCCCGTGCTCGTCCCGTCTCTCCTGTCCTGCCCACCCACCCTATGTTGCTCCGTTCCCACTCGTCTCGTCCTCCCCTCCTCCCGTCCCTCCTCCCTCGTCCCTTGCTGTTGCACCTCCTCCGTTCTCTGACTACCTCCGTGCTGCTCGTCCCCTTGTCCCTCGGGTCCTTGCCTCTCTTGTTACCGACCCTGCTGTTCCTGTCTCGCGCCTTGACGCGCTTGTCGCTGCTGTCGCTGACTTCGCTTCTACCCGCCGCCTTGACTACGCTACCGCTCTGGTCTCTGACCCTGCCCGTCCTCTGTCCGTCGGGGGTGCTCCTGCCCTTGGCAGTGACGTCCTAGAGGACAGGCAGTACGAGCTGGCTTTCCTTTCCGAGGCTGCTCCCCATCTCTGCTCCATGCTGTTAGTCCCTGAGGGTGACCCAGACGCCTTCGACATCCCGACCCCTCGCACCTACGCTGAGGCCACCTCGGGACCTTGGGCCTCTCAGTGGATAGCTGCCATGGAGCAGGAGATGGCATCTTGGAGATCCACCGGCACTTACGTCGACGCAGTTCCCCCGCCTGGGGTGAACGTAGTCGATGGTCGGTGGCTCTTCAAGGTGAAGCGCCCCCCTGGAGAGCCGCCTGTCTTCAAGGCGCGCTACGTGGCCAGAGGTTTCAGTCAGCGCGAGGGGGTTGACTTCTTCCAGACCTTCGCCCCGACCCCGAAGATGACCACTCTTCGGGCGCTGCTACACGTAGCAGCACAGCGTGACTACGAGCTTCACTCTCTCGACTTCTCTACTGCCTTTCTTCAGGGCAGCCTACACGAGCAGGTCTACCTGCGCCGACCACAGGGCTTCACTGGTACCTTCCCTCCTGGGACCCAGTGGCTTCTCAGGCGCCCGGTCTACGGCCTGCGTCAGGCTCCCCGCGAGTGGCACGACACGCTACGTGCCACGTTAGCAGACCTGCAGTTCTTTCCGTCCTCTGCTGACCCTTCACTGTTTGTGCGTTCCGGCCAGACTCCGTTCTACATCCTTGTCTACGTAGACGACCTGGTCTTCGCTACTCCTGACAGGGACGCACTGGCCTCTGTGAAGGCTGAGCTGCTGAAGAGACACACCTGCACTGACCTTGGAGAGCTGCGTCGCTATCTTGGCCTGCAGATCTCTAGGGACAGAGCAGCACGCACCATCACTCTGACCCAGTCACACTTGGTGCGTCAGGTCCTTCAGAGGTTCGGTCTTCAGTTCTCCTCCGCACAGCCCACACCTCTACCCGTAGACCATGGGCTCTCTGCTCCCGTTCCTGAGGAGCCAGTAGAGCCCAGTGGCCCCTACGCAGAGCTGGTGGGTTGCCTCATGTACCTGATGACTTGCACTCGCCCAGATCTCGCATACCCTCTCAGCATCCTGGCTCGCTTTGTGGCTACAGGCAGACACCGACCTCAGCACTGGTCTGCCGCTAAGAGGGTTTTGCGTTATCTTGCTAGTACATCAGGCATGGGGTTAGTGCTAGGAGGACGCAGGCCAGTGGTCCTTACTGGGCACACAGACGCTTCTTGGGCAGACGACGCTGAGACGCTCAGGTCGTCGCAGGGCTACTGTTTCAGCCTTGGTTCGGGTGCTATCTCTTGGAGATCCACTCGCTCGTCGTCTGTGGCTCAGTCTAGCTGTGAGGCTGAGATCTACGCTGGTGCCATGGCGGCACAGGAGCTCCGCTGGCTGACCTTCTTGCTCACAGACTTAGGTGAGCGGCCTAGCTCTGCCCCGGTCCTGTACGCTGACAACAGGGCCATGATACTCCTGTGTCAGGAGCCTCGGCTTGAGGGCAGAGCGAAGCATATCCAGCTGCGGTACTTCCTCCTGCGCGAGCTACAGCAGCGCCGCCAGGCCCGCGTAGTTCACTTGGCCTCAGGTGCCAACACAGCTGATATCTTTACTAAGGCGCTTGCGCCTAAAGATCATCAGCGGCACTGTGTACAGCTTGGTCTTGTTCCTATAGCTGCTCCCCTGTTAGGATCCTGATTGTGTACTCTCTATTATATATGCTTGTCAGACTGGCCTTGTGGCCTTACCTCCAGTGGCTGGACTAGTAGTGCCACCCTGGCTTGCTTCAGTTTTGGTTGTATTCTTGCTGACTGGTCTCCAGACCCCTGCCTCAGTGGTTGGACTAGTAGTGCCGCCCTGAGCTGTTTGCTTCTTGTTTAGTTTCACCCCTTGTCTAGCCTAGGGGGTGTGTCAACTTATACATATTATCTATGTAGAAGTTATAGGCTAGACTGAGGTATGCTTCTAGTGAGTACAACCAACTAGTATTTGTTCTAGGTTTCCACCTCTAGTAAATCATTCGTTTCTACGTTAACAGGTAGACCTCTGATGAAATCCATCGTCACGTGTTGCCATGGGCGTTGAGGTGGCTCGAGGGGCTGCAACAGTCCTGTAGGTCGCTAGTGTGATGATTTTATTCGCTGGCAGATCGGACACGCGGCCACGTAATGCTGCACGTCCGTCATCATATCTGGCCAGTAATAAAACCGCTGCAACGCCTTCAGAGTTTTATCAACCCCGAAATGTCCCGATAAATTCGAATCGTGGACTTCTTGAATTAGTAATTCGCGAAGTAGACGATAACTTGGGACCCAAATTCGATCCGTCCCTCTTCGTACGTAGTAGGCGCCTTTCCGTGTAATGATTGGGAGATGGCCGTCATTTACGAAGAAGGTGTCAGTTGAATTACCGTGGGTAAATAGTCCACTCAGTAGCGGGTTGTTCTGGGCGACTAGTTTTGCTGCGAGTTGGGCAGATGGTCTGGAGAGGGCGTCGGCAATATTGTTGGCGCCCTTTTTATACGTGATCTTGTACGTGAAGTTGGACTCCAGATAGTCCAACCAGCGTATCTGCCGCGGGTTGAAATTCGGCTGCGCTCTCAGGTACCGTAGAGATTTATGATCAGTTCGCAGTATCACGTCTGCTCCAGTCAGGTAGCACCTCCAGATTTTGAACGCGTGGACAATCTTGTCGTGTACCGGGTAGTTGCGCTCGGCAGATTGCATTTTGTGAGACTCGTACGCGATTGGTTGAAGACCATTGCCGAAATCTTGCATGAGCACTGCTCCGATGGCGATGTCACTTGCGTCGGTGAGGACTTCGAAGGGCCGGTCTGGGTCAGCGATGCGAAGTACCGGTGGCGACATTAAAAGATTTTTTAATGCCTCGAACGCAGCTTGCTGCTTCTCCCCCCTCGTAAAAATTCCCCTTTTGCAGTAGGTTGGTTAGAGGTCCAGTTAACCCCGCCATGTTGGGTATAAATCGCCGCACGTAATTCACGAAACCCAAAAATGATTGCAGCTGCTACAGATTTGTTGGCGGTTTCCACTCCTGAATAGCTCGGAGTTTTTTCGGGTCTATTTGAATTCCCTCCATGGAGATCACGTGCCCCAGGAACTCTAGTTCTTGTTTTAAAAACTCGCACTTGGAGCCCTTGGTGATGAGACGATGCTGCTGCAGCCGCTGAAAAACCGCTTCCAGGTCCTTTAAATGTTGCTCCCGGGTTGTGCTGTGGATCAGGATGTCGTCCAGATAAATGATCACACATTTGTCGAGTAGATCGCGGAACACCCCGTTCATGGTGAGTTGGAACGTCGAGGGGGCGTTCGTTAATCCAAACGGCATCACCGTGTATTTGTAACTCCCGTAGCGAGTACGAAACACAGTCTTGTGGCAGTCGTCAGCGAACACCCAAATTTGATGGTAGCCGCCGCGAAGGTCAATCTTCGAAAAATAGCGAGCTCTGCAAAGGTTGTCAATCAGCTCGTCCGTGCGTGGAATTGGGTAGCGCGATATTATCGTTACCCGAATAAGAGCTCGATAATCCGTACACATGCGAAGTTCGCCGTCCTTTTTGGGGTGAACATGATCGGTACTGCGAACGGGGACGTGCTTGGCCGAATAAACCCATTTGCCAGCAGGTAGTCCAGCTTTTTTCGTAATTCGTGTAGCTCCGGCTGAGTTAGGCGCCATTGCGTGCGTACCGTAGGCTGCGCACTGGGCCCCAGCTCGATTTTGTGGTCCTGGGGTCGTTCGGGTGGCAGTCCACTTGGCAGGTCGTCCGGGAAAATTTCAAGATATTCCCGAATGATTTTTGCCAAGTCATCCGGAACCGAAGCGCAGAGTTTGTTGATGTCGGTCGCCTCATTCTGCTCCGTCGATTCGGTTGGATGGACGGCGTATAAATCCGCTCCATTCTTGACCGCTCGGTTGAGGCACATAGCGTTGACCCGTATCGATGTTGTCTCTGCTTCCAGCCACATGGGTAATTTTCGCCAGCCCTTGTCGCATTTCACTGTGCACTCGCCTGTTGTCCAATCGATCTGCGAATTGAATCTTCGCAGCCAATCGCGTCCCAATAGCATATCGTAGCCGTCGAGTGTTGTCGCCAGCATCGGCGCGTTGAAACCGAAATCTTCGCCACACTTCATTCGAACGACGGGTACTTCGCCGCGTATCGCCAACGGGGTGCCATCCACCAATCGCGCGTCGATTTCGGGCAGAAACCTCTCCACCGTCAGATGTAGTCGTCGTGCTGTCTCTCGATTTATCAGGCTATGGCTCGCACCTCCGTCGATGAATATTTTATTTTTTTCTTCCGTTGAGTCGTCCCTCCGCGAGTACAGGGTGGTCCACTTGGTCATCCTCCTTATTCAGCCGAGAGCGGTTGATAGCGTGTATCGGAACCACTACTCGGTGAGGATGGTGTTTTTCGGGCGATGAAGGCAGGGTCAGTAGGCGGCCCGACCGCTACTGACGCTTGGCGTTTCCCGACCTGCCTTCGTCGTTCTTTTTTATCTACTTACTTCAGGGGCAATCGTGAGATTGGTGACCCGGTTGGTGGCAGTTGAAACATTGTCCCTTGCGAAAATCTTTCATGTGCTCTCTCGCCACTACGCCGTGAATCGTGGGCCGTGGATCCTGGCGAAAACGATTTCCCTCCCGGGAACCCACTCTCGCATACGTCCAGTGTGCGTCGAAGTTGTCTGCGATTCGGACTGCTTCGTGAAACGTCGCCGGAAGTCGCGGTCGGACCTCACATTTTATGCCCTGCTTCAAGCCCGAGATGAATTGAGCTTTCTTCTTGGAGTCATGCATGTCGGTGATTTGATCGCATAACGCCATGAAGACCGACGCGTAATCCGGGACAGAACTCCACTGGCGCCAGTTGTCTAGCTTCGTACGTGCGTTGTCTGAGGCGGATATTGGATCGAACCATTCACGCAGAGCAGTACCCCACGCCTTCCACGTGCGAATCTTGGTCGATCCGAAAATCGCGGTTAACTTTTGGGCCGTAGACCCAAAGTTTCCGAAAAACCCCTGTGTGTCACCTGCCGAAAACTCTCCTTCCTGTAATGTATATCGCCACCAATCTAGCGCAGGTCCCCGCAGTAGTGATACAGCTAGTCGAATTTTTAAATCGTCAGCAGTGATCCCAGCGGCATTAAAATAAAGTTCCGACGAAAATAACCAGCCCGTAACAATAGTATTCTTATCTGTGGGGTTGAACGGGGGCGGCATTGTCGGTTTGATCGTCGCTGTCGTCACGATCGGCACAAACGCCGGTGCGGCTACAGTAGCGACTGCTTCTGACCGAGCGGCTGCTGCTGTCGCTGCTGCTGCTTCGACGGCTGCACGTGCTGCCACGTCAGCTGCTGCGGCGGCTTCATTGCCCTTGCGCTCATGTGACACCTCACGTGCGATTTCGTCCAAAACGGTTTCGACACGTCCGGTGCTGGCGACCTCCTCTTGGTCGGCAGTTTTCTGACGCGAATCCTCTCGCGCCTGGCGTAACTCGGCAACTTTTGCACGAAGTCGCTCGTTGTCCTCCAGTACTGTAGCCATGCGTGCGTTCATGGCGTTGAACTGCTCCCGTAGCTTGTTGAACTGAGCTTGGTCCATTTGGCGAATGCTCCGCCGGGGCAGGGGGAATTCCGTAGTGTGCCTGTACTCAAGTAAGTGCAAACGCTATCGTAGTTGGGCGAATTAATCAGTCTAATTCGCGAGCAACCGCTTTGCAGCTTACGTGAGGGACTTACCCCCCCTCCCCCCCCCCCCCCCCCAAAAAAAATCAACTCACGAAAACGGGTGAGATAGGAAAGTGGCTCTGATTACCAGGTGTTATGAATGAACAAGCAGAGTAGCGCGGAAATGAATAACGAAGTATTCAATAACTGAATGACGATACAAGGAATGGCCAGCCAAGATATAGGAACACCCGAGCTAGTCTAACCATGCGATGGTAAGGTTCGGGAAAGAGATCGAAGGGTCTCGAAGTGACGAAGCGAGGCCCGGAGAACTCCCGAAGGTCGAACTAGCAGGTCTGGAGAGGCCGAGGCGGTTCTGTCAGACAGGTCCGGAACAGTCCCGAGGCTTCGGGTGTGTTTGAGCGTTCGCGGTAGCAGTACCGCTCGGTAAGGAATGGAAAATTCCTTAGTCAATTTCGGGAATTCAAGGAATTCCTTATCGTAACATATTGGATCCAGGTCCCGGAGGGCACCCACCCCGCCGTAGACAAACATATGCTTGAGAGACACGCCCTGAGTGAAGTGTGGTCAATTGAATTGTTCCGAGGTCTCATGTGAGCGAACACCTGCCCAGATCCGATATGTAAATGCCACATGAGGACAGCATGTGTGTCGTTACGCCCAGGATATATATATTTTGTCGAGCCGCCACCACCCTCTACACCAGAGCTGTCGTCTGGTTTGGGGCTAAAACTTGGGTGCCCGAGGTTCCAGAAAATGGCCCTGAAATAAAGGCTGCGCCAAATCCGGTGATAATCCCGCCAGTCCGAACTACGCAAGCACCCCTCTACGAAAGGATCGTTTGCGAATCTGGCAGGTTTGTGCGGCTCACCTCGTTACTGGTCTACAATTGGCTACGAGGTATAATGCGAACCTCCAGATGCGCTGGAACTCCCTCGAGGAGTGGGAAAAATGGGGTGGGAGGGAGAAGGTAGTGGGGAGAGGTCAGACTTGTTTCAGGGCATGGCTTGGCTTGTCACGTAAAATTTGGGATTGAGGCCTCGCTTTCTCCCTAAACGAGAAGGGCCCAGAGAAACTTGAAAATATGAGGGTGCCAGAGGGTCAACCTGAATATTTATAGCATGAAGAAGATTTGCCCTTGAAACGACAACCCTGCTCAATGGGCAAGAAAGGTCCTGAATGGTTCACCCGCAGTCGAGGGAATCCAACACTGCAAGGAGAACTCCAATTGGGCAGGATGAAAGTTTCAGGCACTTGGTCTTCAAACCCCCGTATGAATTCCGAGAGGGTACGGTACAATATACCCATGCCCTCTATTTACCGGTTCGACGATCGGTGGTGTTTTTAGTGTTGTATAATGCAATTTCACCTAAAAAGAAAATATACTGCTCTACACACCCAAGCAAGGGCATAACACACCAGTTGAAGCCAGCCAGCATGCGGTCTCGATGAAGGCCTGGGTGGCTGTGGTGGTGGCGACGACCCACCTTTCACTTGCCGAAAGCCAGTCCTTTAATTTCCTACTGAAAAACTGCCCGTTTTCCGCGTGCTTTGTCTACCGTATTTAGTGTCCTGTACAGAAGAGCCTTGCAGAAAGGGCTCAAAGGAAGTCAGGGCTGGAATTGGTTGGTTGGACTGGTCGGGCAGCCTGTTACTGAAGAACGGACGGGTGACGACAATCGCATTGCAAGCTCTTCCATCTGGAAGGCAGAGGCCGCATTCCTATGTTTGACCGACAAACGAAGATTGCCCAAGAGTGCAGCTCTCCTCTTTTTTTTGTTCTGGGACTTATGCCTATATAGTGTGAGTGTTCGTAATTTTACAGGTGCAGATATTGTCCAACCCGAACCCGACGGAGTTCCAGTTTTTCCGGACTCTCCACAAATGTTCAGGTGTATTGTAGAGTCAGAATGTACGAGAAGTTCGAGACCGCCATCGCGTGTTGTTGTTGTTGTTGTTGTTTTTTTTTTTTTTTTTTTTTTTTTTTTTTTTTTTTTTTTTTTTAAAATCTGTGGAAAGCAGTCCTCCAGTCTGTTCATATTCGGGTAATTGTGCTTACCGCATGTGAAAGCGACACTCCTGGGCAAACTTCGTCTGTTGGTCAAACATTGGAACGTGATCAGAGTCGAGGAGTGTTTGGCAAAGCAGGGCCAGACGAGCCCGTAATCAATTCTCGCGAATCTCCACTCAAATCGACTTGCAGAGTGAACTAGTACAATCTATGTACAGTACATGTGCTTTGACCGGATTTCCAAGCAAGTACTTACTGTAGGTATCAGAGTAGACCCTCTAAAACTCGAATCTATGGGACTCCCACCCTTGACCTTGGCACTGACTCGCAAGATAGACGTAGTTTTATACCGGGTTCAAAGTAGCCGATGTTGGGTTTTAACGGAGGTCCGCGTCCGCGTCGTTTCCACTAAACGCATCAAGACCACCATCAACGCGACAGAACCCGCTTGCACCGCTTTATGGCGCCCTTGTTTCCGACGTCGTGCTCGTGTAGGACAATCCGCACTGGACCTACCAATCTGGGCCTTATGTGCAATTGTTTACGATGACAATGCCACACCACGAACACAGCATTTGCCTTGATTAACTCCTGCCTGTTTCTGTATCAGGGCAAAGCTAGACCGCGTGTCAGACGGTTGGTACAGGGTTTCCGAGTTGACCCGTGGGACAGGTCGATCTAACAGCCACTGTGCGACCGTTGACGCCAGGACCTCCGAAAGTGTCGCCAGGTGGCACAAGCGAGGTCACGCGAGATTTTGTTAACAATTCGCATGTCGCAAGCCTAGGTCGTGGGGATTTTGGTCGGCCTATTTCGCGGATTTCGATCTGTCAATATATACGACTCTAAACCTGACTGGTAGACGCGATTTATACCGGTTTGAGAGAGCGGAAAATATTGCCGCCAGCGTCCAACTCCCCTGACACCCAGTATGTGCTTCCACGTATCAGGTATGGCTGTACCACATGTTTGACACGCGGTATACCTTGGCCCTCATATGGGTTAGAACTCGAAGTGAAATTGCCCTGGTCCAAGTAGAGGGTCATGCAGTAGTTTCTTGCAGCGCTGTCAAAATTCGATTCAAATAATAATGTACCTTGAGGTCCCCATTGGGAAAAACATTAGTCATCATAACTCCAGGGAGAACACACCAAGCCTTCTCAGACACACCATACAGCAGTAGACAGAGACACGCACACATCTCGCCCTTGCTTCCCTCCATCCCTCCCCACTCTCAGCCCAACTCACAACTCACCATCAAACCTCCCCTCCCTCCCCAACCCAAGGTTTTGCAAGCCTTGCTCTGCTCGTTTCTCCTACAGTATTGGACAAAACGGTCCATCGCCCACAGGTCTGCGGGGGAAAGTAAGGTTGACCAGGCTGGGTGCGTAGGTCATCAACAACCATGTGATGGTCCTTGCCGAGGCCATAGCTGTTGCAGCAGATAATGTAATGCGCCGTAGGTACAGAACTGTACAGTATTGCGTTTCTGAATGGTAACTGCTAGTGGGTAGTATTACTGCTGTGCAGTAGGCGGACCCGCGTGTCGTCTCGCTTCGTTTTGCCTCGTGGAACCGAATCTTACGAACTTAGGCTGGTGGACTGCGCCGGACATTACCAGCTTTGGTTTGCAGCCGATGTTTTACTCGTTCGTAGAGCCGCATAGGAATCGGACTACGCGCATTCGTAGTAGCGTCGTTATGCGGCAGGTCTTGGTTGGCAGTCCTCACAGCCCCTGCGCATATAAGAAGCTGCGTTAGAAGCTAAGTTGGACGCGAAGTTAGGAACGAAGTTGGACGCTACGATTCCGACTCGGAGCCCGAAGAGGGCGGGCGGACGAACAATGCCGCCCTAGTGGCGGCGGCCGCGTCGACTTACATTTTTTTTTTTTTCGCGGAATCGATCGCACAGTAGTTGTAGCTATCAATCCCCGCTGTATCGTCGCACACTACCGTCGCTAACCATCGGGCACTGAATTTCGCATACCATCGCTCACACACTACCCTAGGCCAATCATAGTATCATCCAGGATCTTATCAGAATTCCTTATAAGCGTTGAACGCACTTTTTCGGACGCCTAATCTGTCAATATAGTTGTACTACGCTCGTAGTAGTAATAGTAGTCGTCGCTCTAGAGCGGCGTGATATAGATGACTCGTATTGGCGCGACGATGGGGCATTACCGCGCGCCGCGCGCTGCGCGCCAATTCTGTCGCCTCGCCGCACTTGTCGCTTGGGTCGTCGCATGGGTCGCACTGGCCGTGTGGATCGGCGTGTACACGCGGCGAGCGGCCGAGGCGCCGCGACAGACGGCGATCACGAACTGGTGCGCGGAGCGGGTTCGGTACCTGCACGCGGAGTTCGAATCGAATGTGAAACAAGTGGAGGTGCGTGTAGGCGGGTGAGGAGGGTGTGACTCTAGCGAAGGACGTAGGAACTGGTGCGCGGAGCGGGTTCGCAATACCTGCACGTGGAGTTCGAATTGAATGTGAAACAAGTGGAGGTGCTTGTGGCTATAGCGAAAGGCGTGTTTTTTAGTCGACTCAAATAAGGAACTGATCCGCGGAGCGGGTTCGGTACCTGCACGCGGAGTTCGAATCGAATGTGAAGCAAAGTCGAGGTGCGTGTGACTGTCGCGAAAGGCCGAGCAGGGTGGGGTGCGGATAGTAGAAAAAGCTAAGTGATCTGTTGACGAATCTCAAGAGCCGTGGCCCTGCGACAGACGGCGTTTCGACGGACGACGACGATTCGAACTTGCGGAGATCAACTTATCACTGCCTCTCCACAAGTTCAATTGTTTTCGCTGGAGCTTATACCTGCATCCTGCCGCGGAGTTATATTGTCGAAGGCGGATGTGACTATTCAGGATTCGTTAAAGGCCGTCAGATAGGGTGCCCTCGCCGCTGCGTCGGGGGTGTGTTACTTCGCAACGTTCTGTTACACCGCGCGTTCCCGTCACGGTTGTAACGGCAGTATTACCCGGAAGCAAAAAAAGAAACGACGAAGAAGAAGAATAAAACCTCGCCACCACCCTACATACTACCATCCGAGTCGGCAGCAGTATTCAACGCAGCCGCCGATCTTAGTAAAATATTTTACCGGTCTCGAGCCCTCCCTCGGACCCGATTCTACAACATTAGTCGCTGCTGAACAGGATTAGGTCAGCTGGAGCATGTATGATGGCCAATCGTTATAAGGAGGCATCGAAAGTAGTATAATATTGTGTGCCGTCTGGTCCGGGGACGCTACAGAAAGGTACAGTACGGTGTCTGTTGGTTCTGGGCAGTACAGTTCGGTGCCGGGACCTCCCATGCTGCTCTAGATAGCCTCGAAGGTTTAGGCTCAACGGTGCAATCCCACGTTTGACATTCCGAGCCAGGCGTGGGAACCAATACGAGCGTAATACGAGCCTAATACCGACGTTCGGTCCGATGAAGTGCGTAGAAGGTACGTATTCTCACCTCCTCACGTCTCCACTCATTCCTTGCCTCCCCTTCCCCCTCCCCCCTCCTCGTCACCCTTCCTCCTTTTCCCTCCTAAGCAGATCTTGGCGGGCTTTGTTAACAAGTTCAATGGGTTCAGTGCGGTGCCGGGTACCATGTCGTACTGGGGGTACTCAAAATACACGTCCACCCCACCCCCCCTCTCTCCGTCTCCCCCTCCCCTCCCCCCTACCCCCGCCCCCCTGCTCTTCCTCCCCCGCCCCCCGCCTTTTCCCTTTGACCAGATATTGGCGGGGTTGGTCAACCAGTTCAATGGGTTCAGTGCGGTGCCAGGCAACATGTCGTTCTGGGGGTACTCAGGCTGCGTGGACAAGGTTACCTGGGAGGTGCACCGTGCGGTTACCGGTTTCGCCAGGCCCTGGGTTACTTCGCTGTGGGGCGCCGTTATCCAGGACAAGGACAGGTACCCGCCCTCCCCTGCATGCATCTCTAGTCCCTTCCACCCCCTTCCGCTCCCTCCCTACCCCCTCGCCCTCCCATCCCTACTCCGCCCTCGCCTGCATCCCTACTCCAAGTTCCAAACCCACACCCCCTCCCTTCCCCTCCATCCGTATTCGTCTGGGTTACTTCTCTGTGGGGCGCCGGTATCCAGGATAAGGACGGGTGTACCCCCTCCGCCTTTTCCTCCAACCCTGCTCCCTTCCTCCCCCCCTTTCCCCTCCATCCCTACTTGCCTCCACCCCCTCTCTCTCCTACCCTACCCCCGTCCTGTCGCTTTCCCTCCATCCCCCCATGCCACTCCCTGCTGCTGCAGGATCAACTGTTCTGCTTTCAGATCTCTCCATCCCTTCTCCCTCCATCCCCACCCTACCCCAGTATCTCGTACACCCCGTGTAAGTTCTGCTCTTCCAATGCCCCTCCCAGCCCCTCCCAGCCCCTCCCAGGCCCCCCCAGCTCTTGGTACAGCATCAATTTATTCCCCTTCAAGTCGCTCTTCGGCTTCAACGCTCTCCCCCCCCTTCCCCTCCCTTTTCTCTCCCCCTCCCCCCCTCTCCTCTCTTTCCCCCCTACCTCCTGCTTCCTCACCCTTCCCTCCAGGCCCTGGGTGGAGCGTGAACTTAACTGCAAGTTCCGTCCCCCCAAACGGCACCTTGGCTCCCCCAGCCCGTGGTACAGCATCAACTTCGTCGCATTCAAATCGCTGTTTGGCTTCAGCCCTTTATCCCCCTTGCCCTGTACCTCCTTTCACCCTACAACACACACCCCACCAGGCCCTCGGTGGAGAAACAGCTAGACTGCAAGTTTCGTTCACCCAGCAGCACGCCTGCTCCCCCCAGCCCGTGGTACAGCATCAACATCCTCGTCGCTCTTCGGCTTCAGCGCGTGCCCCTTTCCCATCCATCCCCTTTCACCCCTTTCAACCGCACATCACACCTCTCCAGGCTCTGGGTGGAGCAGCAGCTCGACTGCAAGTTCTATCCTCTCGCTCCCCCCAGCCCATGGTACAGCATCAACTTCTTCGCCTTCAACTCGCTCTTCGGCTTCAGCGCGTGCCTCTATCCCCCCCCCCCCCCCCTTGTTCTCCCATTCCTCCCCCTTCCAATACAGACCCTGGGTTTAGCAACAGCCTTTTTTTTGCAAGTTCCGTTCCCCCAACGGCACTCTCGCCCGCCCGGCCCGTGGTACAGCATCAACTTCTTCGCCTTCAAGTCGCTCTTCGGCTTCAGCTCTTTGCCCCCCCCCCTCAATCCTCCCTTCCTTCCTTCCTTCCTTCCTTCCTTCCTTCCTCCCTTACGTCAGGCCCTGGGTGGAGCAACAGCTCAACTGCAAGTTCCGTTCCCCCAACGGCACCTTGGCTCCCCCCAGCCCGTGGTACAGCATCAACTTCTTTGCATTCAATTCCCTATTCGGCTTCAGCGCGTGCCTCGACTTCGGCGCGGCATTCCCCGACCAGATGGTGCAGATGATCGCCACGGGGAAGCCCGTCAGCTCCGCTGCTATGCTGGCACCGAATGGGCGTCTAGGATACCGTAAGTCTGCACGGCAGAGGAGGTTTCAGGAGGTGCACGGTAAGGCGTACATGCTCTCTTCGGCTTCAGCGCGAGCCTCGACTCGGCGCAGCGTTCCCCGACCAGATGGCACAGATAATCGCCACGGGGAAGCCTGTCAGCTCCGCTGCTATGCTGGCACCGAATGGGAGACTTTGATACTGTAAGTATGGGTTCATCACGAACCTTGAATGCTGTGTCTGTATGTGTCAGCTCAAGGGGTCTGTGAGCTGTTTAAAAAGAGTTCCCCGACCAGATAGCGCAGATGATTGCCATGGGAAAGCCTGTCAGTTCAGCTGCTATGCTGGCGCCTAATGGAAGGCTCTGGTATTGTAAGTCCTGGTTACTGCAAGCCGTGGTTTACCAGAAGACCTGGTTACCAGAAGTCTTGGTTACCATAAGTTTTAAGTCCTGGCGAAAAAACCCTGATGGAGTAATTTTCAATATCCATCCTTCTGAATCTCATATCTAATTTCTCTTCCACCAGTGTACGCGTTTCCGATGTTCCGGAGGCCTGTAACGGATCAGAACTCTAAGGAGGACATGGAGGCGAGTGTGGCGGGGTTCATCGGGTGCGGGCTGGACGTGGCGATGCTGGTGACGCACGCGCTGGTGGAAGTTCTCCATAATGGTGGGTGTGATGTGATGCGCTTGTGTGGTGCGGTACAGTTGGGTTTGGTGTGGTGCAAGTGTGGCGGGGTTCATCGGGTGCGGGCTCGTCGACGTGGCGATGCAGGTGACGCACGCGCTCGTGGAGGTGCTGCACAACGGTGGGTTGGCGTATGGATGCTGCTGGATTGCTTGCTGTGTGCTTCCTGTGCTTATATTTGTTTGTATGTGCTTATATGTGCGTACATGCTAATGTCTGCTTGTGTGCATTAGGGTGCTTGTGCCTGTCGACAGTACCGAGCCAGCTCTCCCCGTGCGTTTGCATGGTACTAGTCATCCACCCTCTCACTCTACCATTCCCTCCCCCCTCACCGCCCCCTCCCTGCCCCTTCCCCGCCCCCTCCTCGCCCCCACCCAAAGCAAAAAGACTCCGACATTGCTTTTGAGGCGCCTCAAAAGCCGTCCTTGCAGACTCCGACATTTTTTCACTGGAGCTCTTTGACATCGCCGAGCCAGCGCTCCCCGTCCCCCTGCACCGCCCCAACCGTCCAGCAGCCCCACCGCAGCAGAACCTCTTCACCACCCCCAGTCCCACCTTCCCTCTCTCCCTCAACTCCCTTTCCCTCTCCCCCTTCTTCCCCCCTCCCCCCCCCCCCCCCCACCCATCCCCCCCGGCCCTCCGTCCTCACAGATTCCGACATATTTTCACTGGAGCTCTTCGACATCACCGAGCCGGCCCTCCCCGTCCCCCTGCACCGCCCCAACTCTTCCGCTCAGCAGCCCCACCAGCCGCAGCAGAACCTCTTCACCACCCCCAGCCCTACCTTCCCAAGCCTCAACTACAGCGTCGCTGAGCCTTTCCCCGAGCCTGTCGTGGGCCGGCAGATCCAGGCCTACTGCACGCACCTGGTCCCGGGGAGCTCCTGGGCTTTAATCTACGCGCCGCTGCTCCTCTCCCTCCTGGTCGTCCTCGTTGCAGCGCTCCTCTCAGTGATCATAGTGGTTCTCCGACGCAAGGGCGCAGCGATACGAGCGGAAATGAGAGAGGCGGAGGAGTATACGCTCCTTTTGGAGCGCGCCGAGCGCGCGAAAAGCGAGAGTATCGCGTGTTTGAGCCACGACCTGCGGACGCCGTTCAATGGGATGCTGGGGATGATGGACGAGTTGCTGGACACCCAGCTGGAGGAGTGGCAGAAGCGCGACGTGGTGGACGCGCGCACGTACGCGGCGACCGTGATCGGGCTGCTGAATACAATCCTGGATTTGGCAAAACTGCAGGCGGATATGCTGCTCTTGGACTCCGTGCCCTTCAGCCTGCACCAGTGCCTGGAGGCGGCTGCAAGATCTCTCTTCTCAGACGCGGAGGAGAGACATCTTGAATGTGAGTGATGGAGCATCCCGAGTGCAAGGCGTGCTGGCCCTGGTGGCCTTGGACTCAGCCCGTCAGCCTGCGCTAGTGCCTGGGGACGACACCGGGGTTGTCAGTCACATCGCAGGTTGTCAGTCACATCGCATCGCATGGGTGTTGTGAATGCAGAGGAGGGCCGCTCCCCCTGCCCGCTCCCCCCGCCCGCTCCCACTGCCCGCTCCCACTGTCCGCTCCCCCTGCCGGCTCCCACTGCCCTCTCCTACTACCCGCTCCCCCTGGCCGCTCCCACCGCCCGCTCCCACTGCCCGCTCCCACAGCCCACTCCCCCTGCCCGCTCCCCCTGCCCGCTCCCACTGCCCGCTCCCACTGCCCGCTCCCCCTGCCCGCTCCCCCTGCCCGCTCCCCCTGCCCGCTCCCACTGCCCGCTCCCCCTGCCCGCTCCCACTGCCCGCTCCCCCTGCCTTCTCCCCCAGCCCGCTCCCACTGCCCGCTCCCACTGCCCACTCCCCCTGCCCGCTCCCACTGCCCGCTCCCCCTGCCTTCTCCCCCCGCCCGCTCCCACTGCCCGCTCCCCCTGCCCGCTCCCACTGCCTGCACCAATGCGATACCAGTGCCCGCACTCTCTCATCCCTCTTTCTTTGGCCTCCATTTTCGTTTGACTTTTCTCCAATGCCTGTCTGCCATGTGTCTTCGGCCCCCTCAGTTTTCTGCCACGTGGATCCAAGCGTGCCGGACATTTTGATTGGCGATCCAACCCGAGTCACTCAAGTCATGCGCGAACTCATGGGTGAGTGTCTCTCTCTACCTCCCTCCCTCGCTCGCTCGCTCCTCTTTCTTCCCCCCCCCCTCCCCCCCTCCCCCCCTCCCCCCCTCCCCCCTCCCCCCCTCCCCCCCTCCCCCCCCCCCCCCCCCCCCCCCCCTCCCAATCCACCCCCCCCTCTCTTGCTCACGCCCCTGGTGATCTCGCCTGCCAGTAATCTATTCACCTTTTCACCCCGCACTTGCCCTTCCTGTATACGAGCTCGTGCAATGAAGAGCACAGCACCCTGTCAGGCGGTTGGTGCCTTCCCCGTGTGCTGCCTCCCTCCCTCTATGCGCCTCTTAACCGATTCACACCTCGCACTTGCCCTCCCTGTATCTGTACTACCAGCTCGTGCCACGAAGAGCACCCTGTGAGTCAGTCAGGCGTTTGGTGCGCCACTCCGTTTACCCGCCTCTTGCCCTTCCTACACTCTGCTCCCCCCTCAACCCCACCAGGCCACGCCATCAAGAGCACCCTGTCCGGCCATGCAGCCTTCCACGTCTGGTGCCTGCCCTCCCTGCCTCACCCCACCACCACTACGACCACAAGCGAAGGCACTGCTCGTGCTGCTACTAATGCTCCTTCTCCTGCTTCGGCTGCTGCCAATGCCCCTGCTGCTGCTGGGACGCTTGCCACTGGTGGTGCACACCAGGCGACCAGAGAGTCTGGTTGCAAGGGAACGGGCGGAGGAGAGATCGTAGTGGATGGGACAATAGGAGCAGCCTCTGCTGGGAGGTTAGCAAAGCGAGAAACACAGGTCAGAGACCATGGCCAGCAAGGTCACCAGCAGCAGCAGCAGCAGCAGCAGCAGCAGCCGCAAAATCAGAAACAGCCGCAAAATCAGAAACAGCCGCAAAATCAGAAACAGCCGCAAAATCAGAAACAGCCGCAAAATCAGAAACAGCCGCAGAATCAGAAACAGCCGCAAAATCAGAAACAGCCGCAGAATCAGAAACAGCCGGAACAGAAGCTGATTCAGCAAGAACAGAAGCAGACGAGCGCATCAGAGGTGTGGCTGGCCTCTTGGCTATCATCAGCACAGCAGCAGGCTCTAGGGGTGCCGTCCTCCCCCCCTTCTTCCTGCCCCTATCCCTCCCCACACTCTCTTAACCGACGCTGCAAACCCCGTCAGGTGCCTCGCTGGCAGCAGCAGCAGCAGCAGCAGCAGCAGCAGAGTCATGGCAGAAGTCATAAACGAAAGCAGCTCAACACCAAAAACAACAGCAGCTGTGGCAGCAGCGGTGGCAGCAGTAGCAGGAAAGAGGACTTCCCCCTATCCGCCTCTGCTCAGCAGCTGTGCCAGCAGCTCGAGGGGTTTGTGAAACGGTTCCAGCAAAACGTGGTGTTTGCTACTGTTCCCACTGGTGCGACACGGTGGGGGAGGGAGAGCGGGAGAGTGTGGGGGAGAGGGACGGGGCGAGTGTGGGGGAACAGGTGTAGGAGTGTGGCGGAAGGGGGGGGGGAGATGGGGGGGGGAGTGAGAAAAGGAGTGCGCGAGGGAGAGAAAGGGGGATTGAGGGAGAGAGGAGAAATGGTACAAGGGGTTGGGGGCGAAGGGAGGGAAATGGCAGTGGCAGCGGTCGCAGAAGCAACAGAATCGGCAGCGGCGGCGGCAGTGGCAGCAGCAGCGGGAGTGAGGGTAGTGTTGGAGGCAGGGTGGATGGAAGCTCAGGGAAGCGGAAGCTAGCCTGGTCCATGTTTGCTCGAGCTCCTGGGAGCATTCTCAAGTCGTGGCTCGGTGGAAGGGCCAGCAGCGGGATTGGCGACCATTTCTCAAAGATTCTCGAGACACAAAGACTTTCTGCAGGTGGTGCTGGTGCTGGTGAGGGGGGGGAGGGTGAGGGGGAGGCGGGGAAAGAAGGAGGCGATATCGAAGAGGCTTATAGTGGGCGGGAGAGGGGAGATGAGGTATGGAGTGAACAGAGGGGCAAGGGATATGAAGGAGAGGAGGATGAAGGAGAAGGGGGGGAGGGAGAGGAAGAGGAAGAGGAGGAAGCAGAAGAGGAGGAGGAGGAGGAGGAGGGGGAGATAGGTGCGGATCAGGTGGGTGAGAGCTGTCTCAGAGTAGCACGAGCGTCCGTGGGGGCGTGGGTAAGCAGCAGCAGTGAAACCACCTTTGAGCCGGCTCACAACCAGGCACCCACTGGATCAACGGCTCACAGGACGTTTGGGCGCCGAGCGACGTTTAGTCACCAGCTACCAGGGTCAAGCGAGTCTAGGAAGTCAAGGGAGTCAACGGAAGGGGAGGTGCTGCTGGTGATGGTGTGTGAGGACACTGGGTGTGGTATCCCCTCAGAGGAGCTGCTCTGGGTGCTGGACCCTGCTGGGCAGACTGCCAGTGGCAGCAGCAGTGGCAACACTGGTAGAGACAGCAACCGCAGTAGCAGCAGCAGCAGCAACAGCGAGGGCAAGGCTATCACGGCCAGCAATCGCGACAGTATCAGGGGCAGCAGCAGATACAGGAAGGCTGTTGACGGGGTGCAGAGTGGTGAAGAGGGGCTAGGACACAGTGAAAAGGGGATGCAGAGCGGTAATGCAGCGGTGCAGAGGCCGCCTGACTGGAGCCCGTATCCCGTCCGCTTCCTCTTGTCCACTGGGCTCGTTCGTCTCATGCGGGGATCCATGGGGGTTGCATCGGAAGAGGGCGTGGGGACCACCATCCTAGTCAGCCTACCAATGAGAGCGCGCCACCTGGCAGGAGACGATTCAATCCCCGTGGACGAGACCAAGGCTGGGGATGCCGGGCCCTGGCTGGAGGCTCGGCGGAGCGTTTTAGGTTCGGTCCGAGGCAAGCGAGCATTGGTTGTGGATGGGATGAGGCTGAGAAGAGAGGCTGTGTGTGAGTGCCTCAGGTACCTTGGGATCTCTGTTACTGTAGCTGCTACAGCCGCCAGGGCGGGGTGCATGCTGATGGGCAGCGGCTGTAGCAGCGGCAGTAGCAGGTGGGGGGATGAGGCGAGGGATGGGGAGGGGGAGGAGGATGTGGAGGGAGGGATGGGGGAGGAGGTGGAGGAGGAGGAGGAGGAGGGGGAGGAGGAGGAGGAGGTGGAGGAGGAGGAGGAGGAGGAGGAGGAGGAGGAGGAGGAGGAGGAGGAGGAGGAGGAGGAGGAGGGGAAGGAGGGGAAGGAGAGGAGTATAGAAGTGAGTGAGGAGGATTTTCGGCGAGGAGGGAAGGGTTCTGATATGCATAAAGCTAGCGGTACCAGTAATGGTAGCTACGGCGGCAACTGCGACAGCAACAGCGACAGCGACAGCAGCAGTGGCCAAAGCAAGGCGTCCCGAGCAGTAGCCTGGCAGGGCAGCAGCAAGCGAAGCAGCAACAACCGACTGAGCCCAAGCAAGCCCTTCCCTGGTGCTGAGAGCCTCACCAGCTTTATCATAGACGAAGGGGTGGAGGGAGAGGGGATGGAGGGCAACCATGGATCGGGCCGAAATGCGTGGGAGGAGGAGGAAGCGGAGGGAGGAAAGGGAGAGGAGGGAGAGGAGGGAGAGGAGGGAGAGGAGGGAGAGCAGAGCGGGGGACCTGGGAGTTGGGATGCGATCTTTATCGAGGCCGATGCGTTCGGCCCGGCAACAGGGTTCGGATTTGGCAAGAGGGTCATCTCCCAATGGCAGCACCTGCAGCACCACGGCGGACGAGAAACGCCACCCCCGTCGCCCACCACCCCGTACCCGCTCCCCGCGTCTTCGTCGTTCCCCTCGTCCTCCTCCTACCCGCCCGCGTCCCCCCCCCTGGCGCACCCGCTGCCCCCGCCGCTGCCGCCGCTGGTGCTGACGGGGAGGAGCGCGTGCGAGGAGGCGCAGGCGAAGGCAGCGGGTTTCAGTGATGTGCTGGTGCGGCCGTGGCTGGCTAGTGACGCTGCAAGGCTCTTGCAAGAGGTGGGGCTGCTGGTTGTATGGCTTGTGTGGGGTGTTGGCTGTGTGCGCTAGGGCATGTTTGAAACAGTAAGAGCGTGTGAGGAGGTGCAGGCGAAAGCAGCAGGGTTCTGCAATGTGCTGGTGTGGCCGTGGCTGGCCAGCGATACTGAGAGGCTCTTGCCGTGACTCCAGATGGCTCCAACCCTGCCTCCAAACCCTCAGCTGTCAACGCCACCAGTTCGTATCCGGCCTGGCAGTGGGTCTCATTTCCCCTCTCCATTGCGTTCCCCTCCCCTCACCTCCCTCTTTCCGTTCCCCCTTGCACCTCAGATCTTTGCTGTGATGCCAGCTGGCTCCTACCCAGCCTTCACCCCCTCAGTTGTCAACGCAACTGAGGGGGAAGACCTGCCCCCACCATCTCCTATCCCGTTTAGTAGTGCACCCCACCACCACCTCTTCCCTATTCCCTCTTCCCTCCCCCTTGCCCCTTCCACCTCAGCTCTTTGCCGTATCTCCAGCCTGCTCCAACCCCTCAGCTCCCACTGCTGCTGCAGAGGAAGAAGACCCGCCCCACCAGCTGTTGTCCCGCCTCGCAGTGGAGGACGCAGCGGCGGTGCTAAGAGACATGCTTAGTGGACAGGAGGTGCTGGTGGTGGACGACAACGCGGTCAACTGCAGATCAGCACGGGAATGCATAATAGGATTGATCTCCTCTGCCTTTGCCGCCCCCTCTCTTTCCCTCCCCTGTATCCCTTCCCCTTTGCCTGCACCTCAGATCTTTGCAGCAACGCCAGCGGGTTCCGGGCCCTCCTCCAACCCCTCAGCTGCCACTGGTGCTGCGGAGGAAGAAGACCTGCCCCACCAGCTCTTATCCCGCTTAGCAGTGGAGGACGCAGCGGCGGTGCTAAGAGACATGCTTAGCGGGCGGGAGGTGCTGGTGGTGGACGACAACGCGGTCAACCGCATGGTGGCGCGGAAATGCTTAATGGGGTTTGGAGCGAGGGTGGAGGTGGCGGCCAGTGGGGAGTTGGCGCTGCAGCGGCTGCAGCAGCCGCACACATTCGTGCTGGCACTGGTCGACATCAACATGCCGCCTGGCATCGACGGGTGAGTGTCCCTGTCTTACAACTTGCGGGGCTTGGGTGCCTTGGACATGGGAGACTGGTTGCGAGTGGGGAGTTGGCGCTGCAGCGGCTGCAACAGCCGCATGCATTCGTGCTGGTGCTGGTTGACATCAACATGTCTCCTGGCATCGACGCGTGAGTGCCTTAACCCTCTGGTGGAGCTGCTTCTTGCCTCTTGTTCCCTCTGCTGGCTGGGATTTGGGGGTTTGGGGGCATGGGCGTTGGGGGCATGGGGGCAGGGGGGCATGGGGGCTTGAGGGCTTGTGGGTTTGGGGGCTTGGCTACCTGTCTTGATCTCTCTGGACCAGTCCACTTATCCCTCCCTCCTTCCCTCCCTCGCTGCATGACTCAGGTTCGAGACATGTCGCCACATCAGGGCGCGAGAAGCCCTTTCAAGCCCTGCTGCTGCTGCATCTTCTTTTTCCGGTGCTGCTGCTGCTGCTGCTGCTCCCACCGCCCCGCCTCATCTCTGTGTGGTGGCGCTGACAGCAGACCTGGACGCTCACATTCGCAAGGCGTGTCTCCAAGCCGGGATGGACGGGGCAATCGCCAAGCCCATAGTGGCTCAGGAACTGCTATCAAGACTCAGGGCTGCTGGGTTCACCGCACCTTCCTCGTAACCTGCCGCTGCAACGAGGTGACTTTTAAGTCGAACCAAAAGTCACCTCCTCACTCTCCACTTCCTCCGGTACCTCCTGTCCCTGCCACTCCTCCCGCCACCCTGCTTCGTGTCCCTGTGCTGTTTTTGAGTCGGCTCAAAAGCGCTGCCCCGCCTCGGCTGTGGGTGATGGCGCTGACAGCAGACCTGGATGCGCGCATTCGCAACGCGTGAAGGCAGTCCAGCATGGACGGGGCGATCGCCAAGCCCATAGTCCAGGAGCTGCTATCAACACTCAGGGCTGCTGGGTTTACCGCACCTTCCTCGTAAGCATCCTCGTTCCTCGCCCTTCTCCTCCTCTACCTCCTCCTGCTCCCGCTCCCACTGCCGCTGCCGCTGCCGCTGCCGCTGCTGGTGTTGCTCCTCCCGCCGCCCCGCCTCGGCTGTGTGTGGTGGCGCTGACCGACAGCAGACCTGGACGCTCGCATTCGCAAGGCATGGCTTCAGGCCGGCATGGACGGGGCAATCGCCAAGCCCATAGTGGCCCAGGAGTTGCTGTCTGCCCTTGGAGGCACAGGCTTCACTGCTGCACCTACTGTCTCATCATCGCCACTGTCCCATCCTGAGTTGCATTGCACGCCTTGTACAGCTCTCAATGCTATGGCCAACACCAGGATTAAGTGCGTGCGTGCATTCGCAAGGCGTGTTTGCAAGCCGGCATGGACAGTGCGATTGCCAGGCCATTAGTCGCGCAAGGGCGCTTATCCGCTCTCGCAGCTGCTGGGTTCACCACCACACACTACCACACCGCACCTCCTCCCACCTGATTGGTATTACTTATACCTAAACACTCTTTGCTGCTCACTCTTTGTTCCTCCGCGTCTTCCACCAGAATGATGCCGCTGTCGTTACGCACACCGTGCGCTGCTTTTACTGCTGCTTGCGGCACCTGTTAGTGGGCCTGGCTTTTGAGTCGACTGAACAGTATTCACCGCACCGCACCGCACTGCGCCTTCCACCTGAATGATGCCGCTGTCGTTATGAACACCATGCGCTGCTTATACTGCTGCTTGCGGCACCTGTTAGTGGGCCTGGCTTTTGAGTCGACTAAACAGTATTCACCGCACCGCACCGCACCGCACCGTGCCTTCCACCTGAAAGATGCCGCTGTCGTTACGCACACCGTCGCTGCTTATACTGGTGCTGCTGCTGCGCGCGACGGCCGTTCCTGGACCTAGTCGCTTCCTTGCCTGTTTATGTGGCTGCACCAGGCCGGAACGGAGTGACACGATACAACAAGCACGCCCATATCAAAGTTGGAGAAGTGAATGTTTGATAGAGTGAGAGTACACACAGATATACCTACGTGTTGTACTCTCTAAGAGGCGACCCTATATAGTCTATACAAACATGACAAATACACATGTTTGACACACCCCCTAGACTGCATAGGGGAATGCCCTAAACAAACAGCTCAGGGCAGTACTACTAGTCCAACCTCTGAGACAAGGGTCTGAGAGACCAGTCAGAAGGAGTACAAACAAGGCAAGAACAAAAGCAGGGCGGCACTACTAGTCCAGCCATTGGGAGAGGACACAAGTCCAGTCTGAGTATACGTATAAAGGACAGTACAAAGTCAAGGTCCTAGCAAGTGAGAGGCTACAGGAACTAGACCAAGTTGTACACAGTGCCGCTGATGATCTTTAGGCGCAAGCGCCTTCGTAAAGATATCAGCCGTCTTGGCACCTGAGGCCAAGTGTACTACGCGAGCCTGACGTCGCTGCTGAAGCTCACGCAGGAGGAAGTACCGCAGCTGAATGTGCTTTGCTCTGCCCTCGAGTCGAGGCTCCTGACACAGGAGGATCATGGCCCTGTTGTCAGCGAACAGGACCGGGGCAGAGCTAGGCCGCTCACCTAAGTCAGTGAGCAAGAAGGTCAGCCAGCGGAGCTCCTGTGCCGCCATGGCACCAGCGTAGATCTCGGCCTCACAGCTGGACTGCGCAACAGACGAGGAGCGGGTAGCTCCCACGAGACGGCACCTGAGCCAAGGCTGAAGCAGTAGCCCTGGGTAGACCTGAGTGTCTCGGCGTCGTCTGCCCACGAAGCGTCGGTGTGTCTAGTAAGGACCACTGGCCTGCGTCCTCCTAGCACTAACCCCATGCCCGATGTACTAGCAAGATAACGCAGAACCCTCTTAGCGGCAGACCAGTGCTGCAGTTGGTGTCTGCCTGTGGCCACAAAGCGAGCCAGGATGCTGAGAAGGTATGCGAGATCTGGGCGAGTGCAAGTCATCAGGTACATGAGGCAACCCACCAGCTCTGCGTAGGGGCCGCTGGGCTCTACCGACTCCTCAGACACTGGAGCGGAGAGTCTGTGGTCTACAGGCAGAGGGGTGGGCTGTGCAGAGGAGAACTGAAGGCTGAACCTCTGAAGGACCTGACGCACCAAGTGTGACTGAGTCAGGGTGATGGTGCGCGCAGCTCTGTCCCTGGAGATCTGCAAGCCAAGGTAACGGCGCAGTTCTCCAAGGTCAGTGCACGTGTGTCTCTTCAGCAGCTCTGCCTTCACGGAGGCCAGTGCGTCCCTGTCAGCTGTGGCAAAGACCAGGTCGTCGACGTAAACAAGGATGTAGAACAGAGTCTGGCCAGCACGAACGAAGAGTGAAGGGTCTGCGGAAGACGGAAAGAACTGCAGGTCAGCAAGCGTAGCACGGAGAGTGTCGTGCCACTCACGGGGAGCCTGGCGCAGGCCGTAGACGGGGCGCCGCAGGAGCCACTGGGTCCCAGGAGGGAAGGTGCCAGTGAAGCCCGGAGGGCGACGCAGGTAGACCTGCTCGTGTAGGCTGCCCTGAAGGAAGGCAGTGGAGAAGTCGAGGGAGTGAAGCTCGTAGTCACGCTGAGCAGCTAGGTGTAACAGAACCCGAAGAGTAGTCATCTTCGGGGTCGGAGCGAAGGTCTGGAAGAAGTCCACCCCCTCGCGCTGACTGAAGCCTCTAGCGACATAGCGCGCCTTGAAGACAGGCGGCTCTCCAGGAGGGCGCTTCACCTTGAAGAGCCAGCGGCCATCGACTACGTTCACCCCAGGTGGGGGAACTGTGCGACGAAGGTGCCGGTGGATCTCCAAGATGCCATCTCCTGCTCCATGGCAGCTAGGGGCGCTACGGGTCCCAGGAGGGGCGCTATGGGTCCCAGGAGGGGCGCTACGGAGGGGCACGACGGGGCTAGGGGCACGACGGGGCTAGGGGGGGGGGGTGAGCGGAAGCGGTAGGGGGGGGGGGGATCCTACCTACGCGTGATACCATATCAAAGTTGGAGAAGTGAATGTTTGATAGAGTGAGAGTACACACAGATATACCTACGTGTTGTACTCTCTAAGAGGCGACCCTATACAGTCTATACAAACATGACAAATACACATGTTTGACAGCCCCTCCCCGCCTGTGCTCTCGAGCCGTGCTGTCTTTGGCGCACAGGGGTCAGGACTGCTGTGCTGGCTTCACTTCACCGCAACTTCTACAGGACTAGGTAGTTTAGTTGGCTTCTACCAGCACTTAGCTGAGTGTTTACGTGGTTTGTTTGTAGTAGTGCTGCAACACCTTGTGCGGCGCTTGGTAACTGTAATTATATAGCGTGTGGTACATTCCTCCCGTCCAGGTTTGCTGGGTTTATGTATGTTCGTAACCACAATAAACCTTAGCCGTACCATTATTTCCTTTTCGCGATCCTAGTATTTTGATTTGTGTTGTGTTGACAAGTACTTGTCCGCATGCAGGACAGAGCACCCTATAGAAGTGTTATCCGCATTATAGTCTGCACTTAGCTAGTCTACAGTACATATACATACACAAATATATGTATGCTAACTTACCCCTAGGAAGGGGCAGAGTCTAACAAGGCACAACAAAGCAGGGTAGCACAACTAGTCTGACCTCCTGTGTATGTAACAAGCACCTCAGGGCAGGACTACTAGTCTGGCCACTGAAACAAGGGTCAGAAGGCCAGTCAACAAGTGTAATAAGGCAATAGTTATAGTTCAGCATATACAGGCCAGTATACAAGCAAGTGTGCGGCAACTGGGACTAGACCAAGTTGAGTACAAAACCGCCGATGATCACGAGGCCCAAGGGCCTTGGTGAAGATATCGGCAGTGTACTACACGGGCCTCGTCGCAGCTCATGCAGTAGGAAGTACCGAAGCTAGATATGCTTGGCCTTGCCCTCAAGCCTAGCCTCCAAAAACAGGAAGATCATGGGCCTGTTATCAGCAAACACGACTGGGGCAGACCTAGGCCACTCACCTAAGTCAGTGAGCAGGAACGTTAGCCAGCGGAGTTCCTGAGCGGCCATAGCACTAGCGCAAATCTCTGCCTCACAACTGGACTGCCATGAGGCAGCACATGCACCAAGGCTGAAGCAGTAGCCCTGTGAGGACCTGAGCATCTCCAAGTCGTCTGCCCACGATGCGTCTGCATGTCCAGTGAGGACCACTGGCACCCGTCCTCCCAGCACAAGCTCTAGACTTGAGGTACTCGTCAGTATGCTTGCTCGCTTCGGTGTCTGCTAGTTGCAACGAAGCGAGCAAGGATACTGAGAGGGTACACTAGATTCGGGCGAGTGCACGGCATCAAGTACATGAGGCATCCCACCAGGCTCGACCTGCTCATCGGAAACAAGAGCTGGGAGCTTGTGGTCCAGAGGCAGGGGAGTTGTCTGTGCCGACGAGAACTGAAGACTGAAAACCTCTGGATGATCTGCTACACCAGGAGAGGGTGACTGTGCATGCTGCACGGTCACGAGAGATCTCCAAACCCAGATAGCGCTGCAACTCTCCGAGGTAGATGCAGGCGTGTCTCCTGAGCAGCTCAGCCTTCACTGCAGCCAGTGCAAGCCTGTTTGGTATAGCAAAGTCCAAGTCATCTACATACACGAGAATGTAGAAGGGGGTATGACCAGCACTGGGTCCTAGGTGGGCAGGTCTCAGTGAAGCCTCGTGGTCACTGCAGAAAGATCTACTCGTGATTGCGCTGCAAGAACACTGTCGGGAAGTCCAACGAATGGAGCTCGTAGTCACGCTGTGCGACTATGTGGAGAAGCACCCGATCTTCGGGGTGGGGGAGAAGGTTTGAAGAAATCCACATTCTCACGCTGACTACGGTGGCTCTCCAGGTGGACGCTTCATCTTATGGATCTACATGTCATCGACTATGTTCACGCTAGGTGGGCGAACCATGTCAACGTAAGTGCCATTACATCTATAAGATGCCATCTCTGCCTCCATCGCTTGTATCCACTGCGCTGCCCGTGGCCCCAAGACCGCCTCAGCGTCAGCGTACAAGCATCCGGGTCTCCCTTAGGGGGCACTAGCTTGGCGCAACGATGAGGTACAGCAGCCACAAGGAAAGCCAGCTCGTACTACCTATCGACTAGAACGTCACTGCCTAGGGCAATTGCACCCCCGACGGATGGTGGATGGGCAGTCTTAGAGACCGGGACGAAGGCGTAGTCAAGTTGGTGGCTCGCAACAAAGTCAGCGACAGCATCGGCGAGGGCAGAGACACCAGTAGGAGGACTTGTAGGGTCTGTAGCAAGAGAGACAAGTAAACGAGAGACCACTGGACGAGCAGTGTTGGAGGGAGGAGCAGAGGAGAGGGGTATGGACAATAGAGGATGTAATGGCAGAACAGGTTATGGAGGAGCACGAGGGCGAAGGACCATAGGGTGGACACAACCACGAGGAGAGACAAGATGACCACCAGGGGGACGCATCCACGGCTGGGCAACAAGGGACAAGACAAGGGACGGAGGAGAACGAGGCGGGAAACGAGCCGAAGATGAGTCCGAGGGAGCGAACATCGGGCAGTAGACGGTGGCAGGCGGGAGGGGATGCTATGTGGAAGGCACAAACTGGTAGTCAGGGAAAATATAAGAAAGGTGCAGACTGCGGCCGGTACTGCTACTGTTGCTACTGCGGCTGTTGTTGCTGCTACTGCGCTCGGCCCACACCAGAAACCCCAGCCCTACCACTGCTACCGCCAGTATTCTCCAAGTCAGCACCCCCAAGACTAGCACCCCCAAGACCAGCACCCCCAAGACCAGCGCCCCCAGAGTCAGCACTCTCAGAGTCAGCACCCCCAAAAAACCACCACCCCCAGTGCCCACGGTCCCCCGCCGCTGCTGCTGCTGTCGCGGTGGCCGCAGTGGGGGAGGTTCATGAGGTGCCTGGGGCACCGAGGCTGGGGAAAGGGGCACCGCAGCTGCGGTAGGTGCATCCCCAGCCATGGGACTCCCAGAGTCAGCAGACATATCTGCGGTAGGTGCATCCCTAGACTCCCCCATGGGCCCAACCGAGCGAAGAGAGGTGACGTGGGAGACACCAGGCAGGGCCAGGCGGGGTAGGAGGGGAGTGG